ATATATGAGTGAATAAAAAGACTATATTTTCTTAGCACATAAGGTTCATCTCAAGCACCTTATCTTCATCTCATCGAAGTATCATCAATATTATATAACGAGAATATATGTCGAATCAAAACTTTGAAGCCTGCACATTGTATATCACCATAGAAGATTATAAATATTAAAGAACACACACATGGTTGTTTTTTTTTCTTTTTGAACTATCACACACATGGTTGTTTAAACATAAAACATGTCACATATTGAAATTAAGGTTCAAACAAATAGTTTCCTGTTACAAAATGTGAGAGTTCAAATTCAAGCTTTAGTAGTGTTTTGATTTGGTTTCTCTTTTTATTTAATTTGGGATTGACACTTTTGATTAGGTGTTTGATTTTATTTAATTCTTGGATTCAGCAAACTAAAATATTGGTTATGAACTTATGAGTTATAAGATAATGAAAAATATCTTTTGCAATTACCTTTATTTTGTATGTTAATATATTTTGGGTGTGATACAAATAATTACATTTCATGCGGGCCAACCCGCAAAGGCATGCACATATAGCGGGACGGGTTTGGGTAGCCATTCTAGAGACCGCAGCCCGCGCGGGCCTGACCCGCTTGAAGAAAATCCCGCTGCGGTCTAGGACGGGATGGGACGGGATAACCTGTTTGCCATCTCTAGCATTAACTCTTAGAAATAAAAAAGCTTATTCTAATTGCAATATACTCGCATAATATTCCTTATTCTACAAAGTTACATATTTTTATCAATCTTTAAAATATTTTGACCTACATTTGCGTAACCTAAATCCGCTATAGCACCTACCTATTATAATTATACGATCACTTAAGCACAATATTCATCAGACCTACAGATACAGAAAAAAAAATGGTGAACAGTATGTAGCTAACTTTCTTGAATGATATCAAACCACGCAAGACGGCATGTCACATCCAAGTGAAGATCATTGATACATGGAGACATTACATGAAAGGCGTTGGAGAATCTATGGAATAATCCTATGTGATGCTAATGTTAGTTAAATATCTTATATAGATTTGTGATTTGTATATATTGATTTTGTTAACATACAAGCTAACCGATATAATTATTTTCATCTTTTTAAAGGGAACCAAAATCCATGTCTCGTGTAATAAGACACATTGGTAAATTGGCCAAACATGTTTACCTCATTTTTTATAGCTTGATAGTTAATATACATATTAAATAAATTTGCCATGAATCTTTCTAATAACAATAGATTTATCTCATTTTATAATTTCTATCTAATAATTTACACGTTTTCAGTGTAAATCGGATATTTAAATTAAAATATCTGATAATTCCAAAAAAAAAATTAGTTATCTATATGATTATTGGTTCGGGATAAAAAATTGTGGGTCAAAAATCACGGGTCAAAATCTCATATAAAAATTCATTTACAAGTATTATTTAATTTCAAAAAATAAATCTGCACTTTCTAAGCGCGGGTCAAAATCTAGTGATTCATTAATTCTTCTACATCAGTAGAATTATCGGATGTATAATCATCGATGTAATGTTTCTTATTATTTTGTAATAGCATAATTAACCAGTGTTAAAAAAATTGGAAGAAGTAACACGAAGAAAAATGTTATTTTCTAATATTTTTCAACCATCCAAGTGATTAAAAATCAGAATCCCTTTGGTTTAGTCGTTAGGTTGGTGTTTGCAAGGGATACAAGTTCCCTCTGGATTAACTTGGTACAAACGACAAGCATTCAATTGCGATTCACCTACCACGTTTAGATTTTTCCTTACACTAAAACTACTTGGTACGAGCACCGGGTTTGGTGCCATAGAGGCTGATAGGAGCTCCTAATGCCTTTCCTCTCACCTTTTCTTATTGACAAGTCATATTTACCAAACATGCATAAAACATTGAAGGTTCAGTTCTTTGACTTGAAAATTTAAATAAACTCCATAAAAATATATGAATATAGAAAGAAAATATGTTCTTCTAGGGACATTGTCTGTATATGGGGTGAGTGTGTGATACATGAAATTCTCATGGATCTTTGTGTCGAGTGTGGACCTTTTTGTCTCTATGGTGTTCCTCAAATTTTATGTATAATCACTAACTCTCTAGCAGGTATGGGTATTCGAGTGTCCAATAGGATTTTGCTTTTTTGGGGGCATAAAATTTTACCTCATTCGGATATCCTTAAAATTTGGTTTGGTTTCGGTTCGGGTTTTCTCAGATTCGGTTCAGATATAGTAATACAATTGAACAATTTAATTTTGGATTATGTTTTACATCGGTTTTGCTACCTAAATATTTGTTTGTGATTCAAAAGTACAAACATCAGTTTACAAACTTCTCAATTGTAAACAGTTTTCACTAACAAAAGTTTGGTGGAATGCGTCAGAAATAGATATTAGTAGGAAAACAACATAAACAAGTTAAAATTAGTAACTAAGAACATTATAAAGTAGAAAACATTATTTAAATTCAAAAAAAAGCAGCATTGTTTCAACTTCAGTAACAAATATATTGATAACTGAACTTCAAATGTAATTATTAAAACATAAAAACTTTAATATTTGATACCAAAATATATACTAAACTAAGTATTTGAGTTAATTATTCATATAATAGATATTTACTTTAACTACTAAGTATTAAGTTAGAGTAATTTTGTATTTATTGGGGATTGAGTTCGGGTTTGGAATAAATTTTTTGAGATTTTAATATTTTTTGGATATCTAGTATAGCTCAGGTTCAATTCAGGTAAAACCCATAGTTGGAATACTATAGAATGAAACCCATTCGGCATTTATGTTAAATTTGATTAATTTTTTTATTCATTTTTATCGGGTGGAGTTTGGCTTAAGTTTTTAGATTCAGTTTAGTTACCCACCCCTACTCTCCAATAGTTTTCGCACTAGATAATATGGCACATAAACATGTTTAAATAAGTTGGTCTTGCAGTTCAGCTGTTGGATCATTTTATCATTCACTCATTAAATTTTCTTGACGTGGCTGTTGAGTCTTAATGGGTTAAAGCCAAGTGTTCATACACTCATCATGTTTTTTGTAACACTATAATCCAGACTCAAATACATGGTAACCGTTGGATTAAAGCTGATTAAACTCATGCTTTAGGTGCCAAAACGAGTTATATATTTAAAGAGCATCTCACTTCTAAACTTGACCGTGTGTAATACTAAAAGTTGTCAATAGAGCTCTAGAGAAGCTGAGGCTTTAACATTTCTTTTCAGAGAGAATTTTTTTATAATTGTGTTGGGCTTTATGAGTTCACAAACATTGGGTCTGTGCAAATATTACTAGAGTTGAGTTGAATAAATTAATTGTGCGTGATGCTAAAAAATACAAGAAGATTTTACAATTATTGGTGAAATTTTTAAATGGAGTTGATATTTCTAAAAAAACATTGTGATTTCAAAGTTTATAAAAACATATTGTTTTAAAATTATAAGAAATGGTTATTACTTCTGAAAACATTTTTAAACCTAATCTATATTTTTCCCTATTTTCTCCTCTAAAATAGAATAAAAAAATCTTATTATACAGGTGAATTTGCTTCAATATATATCTTTATATAGTTTTTCTATTTATACGGTAAAATATAGAAAAATCCTTCTCAATATATATCTCTATATAGTTTTTTCTACTTTTGCCTCTAAAAGATAAAAATAACATTCCCTATATTTTCCAATAAAATAGAGAATTATTAATATAAAGTCATAGGTTAGTAATAAATCATCTTTATAATAAAAAGATAAGTTAAAAATGTTCCACGTAAACCAAAATTAATTTGGTTTTTATGATGTACACAAGTGGTCAAGTCAACAAAAATGGAGATCTAGCTTATTAAGGAATCAATAACTTTTTTGACAAAAATGCTTTAATATAAATATTTGATAATCATTTTATACGTTTTCAATAACAAATATTTTTGACTAACTGCATTTTATACAGATTTAACACTAAGTCTATGAATGACAACTGAGGTGCGGAACGTAATTAGACTATTCCGAGTTGAATTACGCAAACGTTACTATTCGAAAGAAAGTTGATTCGATGAGACGTTTTCTTGTAATAACGCATCTACAACTTAAAACAAAAATTGTTTTGACTAACTATTACAAATAACACGATTATTCCGTACATTTTTAAATATGGTGCGGTTTAGATTGTGTTTTTCTTCTTTAATTATTGTTTTATTTACAATATTTTTTAATGTGTACTTTTTAAATCCAAACTATATTTATTAGTTAAATTTATATTAATTTATTTCGAAATAATTTTAATATTTAAAATTATTGAAAGATATATATTATGACATTATTCATATTTAAAATTATTGAAAGATATATATATATATATATATATATATATATATATATATATTATGACATTATCAATAAGCACAAAAATAATTCCAATCCTATTAATATATCTATTTTACATTATCTTTTTTTTTTCTATCAAAACCACATTCTTTTCTTCAAAAACGCACTAGTTTTTCTATGAAATCCACACTATTTTCTTATCAACTCCGCACTTATCTTGTAAACAACATGAACCATAGTTAGATCGTACGACATTTTAATTATGCATGGCTTATATTATCAAAATTGTGATTACTATCATACCCTAATTATTTGTGAAAATTTGTATGGGTACATAGCATGCTCTCTCAAGGCATATCTGTCACTGATGTAATACATGCATCCCACAGATTCTGATGCACTGTAACAGATGAAATAACAGCACTACATTAGAATATCATAAATTGCATACCTAATTCTAATCGAATATAAAGATTTACTTTGTTTCCAAAATGGTAAAAATAAATTATAATACAAAATAAATAAATTAAAACAATTTATTCAAAATCGCTAAAACGCTAACGGTTGATATTTTATATTCAACTATAAATACAAGACAATCTTTCTGCTGGTAACACCAAATCATATTTTATCTTTCCAACAATCTGCAAAAATGGTGAGAAAAAGTAAAGGTCGCCAAAAAATAGAGATGACGAAAATGAAAAACGAAAACAATCTTCAGGTCACTTTCTCAAAAAGAAGATCGGGTCTTTTCAAAAAATCTAGCGAGCTTTGCACGCTCTGTGGTGCTGAAATCGTGATTATTGTATTCTCACCTGGGAAGAAGGTTTATTCTTTTGGTCATCCAAATGTTAATCATGTAATTGATCGCTTCTTAAACATTAATCCACCACATCCTCATCAACACAACGACATGCAACTTAATGAAGCTCATCGAAATGCAGTCGTACGAGATCACAACAATCACCTTACCCAGGTAAATTTTATATTTTCAATTATTTATTTATTTTAATTATATAAATTTTAATTTATAAAATATATATATATCAAATATCAAATATGTATATAATAATTTTAGTTGACTAAAAAGTTATCAACAAAAACTAAAATTTACTTTTTACCTCTAGTTATTAGAATAATGTTCATGGTTTTCTTTTGGATGACAAAAAGAACATTCATGATTTTTTGTAGAATTTTTATTATATATTTTGAGATTGCATAAGATTTTAAAATAATCATGTTTTTAAAAAAATTCACAATTCTAAAATGATTAAATACAGTCAGACACATACAAACAATGTTAAATTTGAATGATAGTATATACATGTTCCTTTTAATAATTAATTTAGTATTAACTATTTACTTTTTAGGAAAAGTAAATTTAAAATATTGTTATATGGATTTTAAAATATATATATAAAATACAGGTCACAGAGGAATTTGAAGTAGAGAAGAAAAAGAACGATGACCTAAAGAAAAAGAAAAAAGATAGTAAAATGCCCAGGAATTGGTGGGAAGAACCTATAGAAAAATTCAACTTAAGCCAACTCACTGAATTCAAAAGTGGTTTGGAAAAATTGAGAAAGATGGTGACTGCTGAAGCCTCCAAGTATCTTCAAGCCATTGTTCCGCATCATAATCTATATGTTGGAAGTTCAAGTAATGCTACTTTTGGGATATCTGATGATGATGGTAATATCAACACTGATCTAGATATGTATAATCATCAAAGAATGTTGGGAATGAACACATTCGCTTGCAATCATCACAACATAGTTCCTCATTACTCTACAACACTGTTTGGGAATAATGGTAATAATAATATTACTGAAGGATTCGCTCCAGAATACAATCAGAATCGGAATGAACCATGCTTCAAGCAAGAACACATTTCCGAATCCGACCATCATCAAGATTGTCCTCCTCACTTTGGACATGGTTACTACTAATTTTTGTTCTTTTTACCATGAACACATTTTTAGATTGTCTTTTGTTTTATTTTATGAACACATCTCACCTATTATCATCAATACTTCTTTTCTAAATTTGTTGAACACAATTTTATTTTTTGTTGTCCCAAAATCTATTATACAATCTCTTTTACAACTTCTATAATGAACTATGTATATCATCTTATAATTCTTTGCAAAATTTTATGTCTGCAATATACTTACACATAAGATAGTTATTTGTTTGGTCTGAGTTTGGTCTGGATTTGTTCAGAGACACAAAATCTTATAAAGTTGTGGTAAAGAAAGTTCAAAAAGAAAACAACATAATATTACTCTTTTAATTATCTCAACTTTTCTTGAAATTTCTGATCTTTTCAATCATTCTTTCTGGCCTACATGTCGGCAATGCGCCTAATAAATAGTTTTATTTCTATTCATTATTGATTTGATGATGTTGGAGCTTATTTCAGTATTTAACTAGATTTTGTCTCCTACACCTTGTGTGGATACTTAGCTCCCAATTGATTAATCAGATTTTTTCTTTCATTGTTCGATTCATCTCTCATAGGTTAATAAATCTTCACTTTTATCAGTGGCGAGTTTGAATGAAGGTCATCCATGGATGATGACTCAAGTTGTTGCGGTCTTTAAAGAACAGAGCATAAAGATGAAAATCTTTGGTCGTGTTTGATGATGTTCTATGAATACCAAGGGCTAACTTATCAAGAGCTTCACCTACAACGACAAAAAGAATGCATCGGATAAATAACCCCACCAAAAAAACTAATAGCTTTTATAACCATTACAAGTATTGATATTACTAATTACTAATTTATACAAAATGTTATATTGAACATTAGTAATATTTTTATTGTATTTTGTATACATTCATGTTAATTCGCATCATCTTCAAAAACATTTGAACATCTCTCATAATTTCAAATAACTAATACAAAAAATTGATTGACATCAATTCCTAAACAGATGATTTTAGCAACTTCAGTTAGTATTAATTGGAAAATATGTATTTACATAGCAAAAAGTTGTTGTCAATGAAAATTAAACTTAACAATTGATGCTAATTACTTAAAGGTCAGTGATAACATAGGATTCCGCAAATGGCAATTTAGTAAGGACAACAAGAAATTTGAAAAGTTGTCAGAGTCATGTATGTCTTTTTACTTTGAAATCAATTACTATAAGAGGTCTACCGGTAAACCCTCTCACTAATGTCGATGAAGTATTTGCTTAGGTAATATTTATGTATCATATATTTGTAATGATTTATGTTTCTAATCTGTAGTGGACACATTCATATAGCTTTGTATTTCAATTTACATTTGTTTGATTTTTCAAAACAAGCTATATTCTTTTCAACTAATAAATGATAAAATGTAGTGGCAAAAATTATTTCTCACATCATCGTTTGTGTCATATTATTTATTGAAACATGATTGTAAAGTGATTATTCTGTCTTTTTTATCTGCAGAAAATGAAACTATGGCAAACAAAAAAAATTAAATCATTCAAAAGAGTTTGTAGACTACAGAGAGAAGATAACCAAAGTATAAAAAATGTTCAAGAGTTTTAGAAAACCACAAATTTGGTTACACGTGCTACCTTCTAGTTGTAAATTAGCAGTGTAATGAATACTGTCAAACATGGTTTTTGTAGGATGGTACAAAGTGGTGCATTCATACGTAAATCCTCATAATAAAATAAAATTGTCAATTATAGAATCATGTGTAATATTTTCATAGTTTATAATATCATAATTATGCAACACTAAAAAGGAGTGTACCATGTGCTTTAATCATTGTTTTATGTTTTCACTGTATGTTTTAGTATGCATGTATTTTTACCAAAAATTTCATATCATAATTACATTTAATTTGTTATTTTCCTTTAAATATATTATGAATTTTCAAGATATTATATGAATCTAATTTAATTTTTAAATAAGAAAGATAACTAAAATTATGTCACATATCTTTGACAATAATAAGTGATATAAAATCAAAGCTACTACCACCAGTTACTTATAAAACCTATATAACAACTAAAATAAATTAGTTTAATTGATACTAATATTAACATTATTTTACAAAATTAATTCAAATTAATATTCTTGTTATAAATGATATATTTTAAAATCATTTAAAATAACAGTTTAAACTATTAGTATTTTTATCTACTTATTAATAAGTAATATAATTTATTTCCCCATTATCAAAGAAGTCGATTATTTAGGTGATGCAATCTTTTACATTAATTATAACTAGTGCAAATATTTGAAAAGAAATATTTAATTTATTTTCTTTTTGTTTGTAGTGTATGATGTAAGAAACCATATCTTCTTAATTTTTAGACGATTCAAGAAAAATACCTCAAAAGCAAAGAGTTAGTGGAGGCTATGAATTTCAAGGCGGAAAAAAAAATTGCAAGCACTATTGTTGATTTTTTTTTGCAGACATTGAATATCTAAGTGGTGAGTGGTGATGCATTTTGTGTTTGAGAATTTCATAGTGAAGACTCTAGAGTCTAAATGCACTACAATATGATTATACGTGTACTCAAGCTGAAGATGATATTTGTGTTTATGTAATCTCAAATATTAGGTTTCTCTTTGTTGCATTGTATAATGTGGCCCATCTGGACTTTTATTAATGATATGAGTGATCAATTATACATTCTTAGAATAAAACTAAAATATAATCTAAATATTGTGCTATTAAAAATGAAGAAAAAAAAGTAAAATGCTTAAAAGAATCTATTTCTTAATGACCAAATGTGTAATTGAACTTATTATAGATAAGTAATATTCTCTTTTTCATGACGTATATATACATCCAATAGACTTTATACCCCTTTTTCCAGTTTATATTTAAAGAATGATAGTTTTCATCAATAACATACATTTATGATGAAAAGACCTAAGGTAACACTCGTAAATTATTTATAAACTAGTGAGTTGTCCGTGCTACGAGCGGGGTGTTTGTCGTTTGTGTTATTTAACAAAAAAAAAATTGTTCTTAGATTCACTTGTATAATCGAAATATCTACTGTGGTAGTTACTTATTATGCTGATGTACTTTCTGGTTTATTAGTTAAATGTGATCGGTGGAATGGAGCAGCTAGTTTTATAAAAAGGAGACTACGAAACTATGTCAATGTATGGTGGCAGTGTGCATAACACTAAATATTTTCTTGTTTAATATAGTGGATATATACAAATAGTTGAGGTAGAGTGATAATATCTTATATTAGTTAATAACATGAACATAATGTCTAATAGATAACATTATTTGAAGATAAGAAATAATGAACAAGGCTTCCTATTAATTAGATAATTTTTTTGAAAAGTAATAATATAGGTCTCCTAAGATTTCTAGAGAATGTTTTTCGAAGCTTGAGAGTTGCTGATTTGCATCCATTTCAATACTATTAAGTGGAAGAGAGAGAGATAGTTGTAAATTTGTAGTTGGTGTTGGACTGATTTGCTTTACAAATCTGGGAATAAGTAATTTAACATTACGTAAGAGACATGCCATTAAAAAGATCAACTGACTATGACATTATGCGGTTTGTGTTTGTAACACTGATCTCCCATAATGTTTTCTGTTGATATGAGTAATAGAACAACTAGTTTGTTAATGAAAAGTAGGTAGACATAGCATACCAAAATATGAACAGCATTTATTTTCTAAGATTTTTACTAATTTAAATTTTTTAATTTACTTCTTAATAAATTACATATTTATGATCATAATGTGTTGTGCTTCTATTTTCTTGGTAGAGTCCCAATAATCTACTAACTCTATTTACTCTTTATAATTTACTGTTGATTGTTATCAAATTTATAAACCAAGTATTTATAGCTTTACCAACAACCTAGAGTAAAAGAGAAAAAAGATAAATAATTTTAGTTATGTTTTTTTTACCTAAATTTTGTATATATAGAGTTCAAATACAGATCTTGAATAAAGATTCGAATTAAGCTTCACCAACATCATTTTGATATATTCCAAAATGTTGTCTACATTAATCTTCCATGCCACAGATATTGGTGAAAATATCACCCATGGACTGCACCCGTTCTATCTACAGTTCTTTCTTTTTCTATGAATATTAAAGTTTTACATAATAAGACTGCTTGAGGGCTTGATCCATGAGCATGTGTTCGACGCATATTCCATGAGTCCCCACCCGAACAATCCCCTTCTTATTTGAATACACCAGGCTGTACTGCTTACACAAAACTCACCGGGTCATGGAGGTACACTCCTAAAACCAACAACAATAAAAAAAAATTGAATCAAAACTTGGAACCTCATCTCTTTTTAGATAATATTCGATGTGCCAAACTCTGTAAAATTTTCACATGCCACTTAAAAATCTCGTATGTTTCCCCTGGGAATCACGCAGTGCTAAGAGGTCATCTGAAACAGTAGAAAATACTTGTTTTCAGTGAACTATTAAGCAATCGGAATGTACGTTAAAAGGAGGTAGAGTAGGAGGAAATTTCACTCACATGTTAGCTTAAATTGGCTACTGATGTTTATCCCAACAACAGTGATATCAGCTCCAGACATGTACCTAACATCAGCTGTTTTTGGGTCACCATATATCTGCACAGAAAAGAGTAAACTCACAAAACATGAAACCTGTATTTTTTTCATTAATAGAAGATTAAATAAGATGTTCAGAGAGTGTTGTACACTCAATTCAGGTGAGGGATTGATATTCCCTAACGCAAAGAAAGCTCCACCAAATATGACAATCATCTTCACCTTAGTCGCTAATGAACTATCATGTTTGATGGACTACAATTAAAGAAACCATCAAGGTGAAAACTCAAAATGTGTTTTAAGATTAAAAATTATTATTCTTACTATTGCAAGATTGATCAGAGGTCTGAGGGTGAGAATTGTAACTTCACATAGATAGTCAGAGACCCTTGCAACAAAACTCAACTGCACTTTTGTCACATTTGTTTCTAGTCAGAAGAGGAAGAGAGACATCTCCTAGCTCATTTTTTTCTGTGCGCAAAATCAGCTACATGGGGAATCGATCTTGGATCAAAACAGCAAACACATAAAGAGATCTAAGTCAAAATAACAGTTTGAGTTTGTCGCATATCAAGGAACTAAAGATTCCTAAAAGATATATATTCTAGTTTTTACACACTTTTTAATAAAACAAAATAAATTTGCATAGTTTTTTGTATTTAACTTTTTTCCATAATTTTAAACCAATAAAAAATCAATAAATGCAATTAAGTTTTTTGAAGTTTACAATTAGTTAATAAAAAATGCATTGAAAATGTAAAAAATGGATCTTTTAGGAACAAATTTTTTTCTAGAATATGTATCTTTAAGGAACGGAGGGAGTATTGTTTAATCTTCAAGAGGAGAGAGAAAGGTCGTATTTTAAGAGTTTGGAGCTTTCTACTGTGACTGGAACTTCAGGGTACCCAAAAATGTCCAACTATTTTTTTTGCATAAATGATCAAATAGAGAGAAATCACAGCCACATCCCACGAACATTTTTCAAAATTGTACATAGGTATAGTGATGCATTGTACATACCCAGAGTAAGGGTTTTGTGTAGCCTCTTGTATTGGAACTTTACTAGACAATACTTGGTCTTAATATCTCTTTCATCATTGTCGCCATACAATCTACTAACAACACATATAAATACACACAGTAATGTAATAACCATGTCTGCTGCCGCTTCGCTCCTTCTGAAATTATAAGCTCAAAGAGCTTCTGAGTTCTTCTAAAGAAGAAAATCCGAAAAACCATAAAACAATACAAAAGAAGGCAATTCATCAATAAGGTGATACACAATTAGTTCTAAGAATATACTTATAAAATCCGTAAATCATAAGCAGGCGTATAACAGAGCATCAAATTGAACCATTACAAATAGTTTATTTTCCATAATTTTATTCTAGAGCTGGTAAGCTCTATCTCCGAGGGCATATTCTACATGTTCTACCATCGTATCCTTATCTTCTGCGTTGTTGCGTCAGTCTTTCGTTCACCCACGTCTTGCCTTATATTTAGGTGATGTCTATGGGCATGATCCTTTGGATGAGCCCGGTGTGATATGGCCTCGACGGTGTAGATCTGAATTTGGGTACTGATATCGTTTAGCAGAGGAGGTTTCATGTGGTGGTTCTACGGGTGGTGCTTTAGCGGCTGCCTCTCGTCTTGTTTACTGATGGCAGACAGGGTTTGGAAACCATGGAGAAAGATATAGGAAGATCTGGAAACCTGCAAAAGGCTTCGGATTAGGGTTCAGAAGAGAGCTCAAAGTGGAGTTGTTACTCTGAGTATGCAATGAGTTAGATTGAATGCTTAAGAGTGGACTAATCACGTTTGAAGAGGAAGTAAATTAGATGCAAACGAAACGTTGTAGCGTTTCCGAGCACTCATCATACTTACACATCTCTAGAACATTCGACGGACGAAGTAGAAGACAAACTGTAGACGACAGAATAACCCATGATATCAACAAACCTCAAATTATTATAAAACCCAAAAAACAATGAATTAAAACCCACTACAGCCTAACATAAGAATTTCGAGATTAGTCTTTTTAAAAAAGGATATGTGTCAATTTTTGCCCCAGTAAAAAAAAACCAAATTTATTATATAAAAGATTTATTAATCATTTATAAGAGTAAACTCAACTCCATCTCTTAAATACTAAATCATAAATTCAAATCTTTTATATACTAAAGCACAAGTCACTCAACCAATAACATTATACCACATAATTTAAATTTTACAATTTTAAAAAAACAATTAAAACAAGATAAAACTGAAAAAAAATTATAATGTCTACAAAAATTATAACTACCCACTATCATCTAAAACCACTTTGATTTCATGATCTTTAAAACGGTTTCAGCTTCTTCTATCATAAAACTCAGAATGAATTGTACTTTGTCTTCCCTAGATCTCCATGCTTCTCTTGCATCATTTTTTTCTTCTATGTATCTGCTTCAAGGATTGTAATTCGTTGCAGTTGATAGAGGAGGTTCAGAGTTCAGACAAGTATCTTCATCTCAATTCCATCTTCGACACACACTTTCTCCTAAAATGTACGTATGTACGTGACCAAAAGAAAAGGTATGTGACCTTTTTGCATGAAACAAATAGATGTCACTAGTTTATAATCATGTTTTCCAACTGAAGCTTTCTATAAGAGAATGGTAGATGAAAAACTTGAAAGTTGTTGGATATCCAACTTATCATTTTCTGGGTGAGTTATAAAATTAAGTTTAATTGTAACGTTTTGTTGTGTTGATCAATTTTTTGCATGGATCTAAAACCATGTTCTAACAAAGAAAATTCATTCTGAGTAGGAAAAACTTAAACCCTTGATTATTGATCTTCATCTTGTCATCACCCTTATGAAACTTGTTAATCATGTTTGTTTTTAATATAAAGTCACGTTATAACCTGATATGAACTTATTGTCAAATCCATCAGAAATTGCTATTAAATTTAATTATTGTTTATCAAAGCTTTATGTAATTAAGAATATAAAAATATTTGTTTGTATTCATTAAGGTGATCTGTTCCAACTTTAAATCTAAAAAATACATAGTTGTATGTCTTATATCTAGGTGTTGTTTGTCATAATAGGAGGATTCAATCCAGAAAAACCGAGGAGCAACAGAGGAAAAAGATAAGTAAGTTCAAACATCTCTTTACAATTTTTAAAAGCCATTCTTGGATATATATATATATATATATATATGAGTTGTTATGTGCTTGATCCTCTTGATTCATTACTACTTTCAGTATGTTGATGTTCATGTAGGTGTGGTTGGATAGTTTTTATTTCTGCTCTACAAATATTTGTGTTCCTATGGTTCACCTTCACTAAAGCCGAAAAGATAAACATACCGTGAGAAAGGTAATGTCTCAAACATTCTATGCGGGAATCTTTATAGTCTTTTTTGTCATACTTAAAACATTTCAATCATAATTGTCAGGCATTATAACAACACATGAACTATGAAAAAATCACGTAGTGTGTCTAATATGGGGCTGAAAAATCACCTTTAAATGGAGTTCCTAATTCTCAAGATTAGATTTCCCCAGTCAATGTACGTGTCAGTAAGATATGCTTTGATGTGTCAATTGAGAATATATTTCTTTCAAGATGCCATTTTGATTAGAGTATTTAATCAGTGATTGTTATTTTAGTAGTCCATGATGTATAATTTATCATTTTGATTTAAATATTATAGCAGAATACTTATGTAGTAAAGATCACATATTTTCAAACTAACTGGTAAAGTAATTTAATTATGTGTTACATACTGATTTCACTATTTTAATGTGTTAACTGGATTTGTAAACAATGTTTTTAAAAAAAAAATTAATTTGTTAAATTGTTTACATATGAAGATGTTAAATTAACTACTAACTGAATACTGGACGTTAGAATCCAAAGACATAAATTGCTCATAACAAGTTTCACACATAACAAGTAAGAAATTATTCATAACATGTATATATAACTAAACTTTTTATTTTCCTGTAAAAACAAATTATGTGCTTAACACAAGGCAAATACTAGTATTACTAGGTTCATAGCTCCGCGCAAGCGCGGAGCCGGAGACAGTGATGATGCGTTATGATGTTTTATAGATGAGATTTTGTCATTTTTTTGGACATTTTTTTGTTTGGGGTTTAACCGAAAACCCGATTGAATTGAGTTGATATATGAATGGGTGAAAATTCATATGCTTTGAAATATTCATATATTATTTTAGTAATGATTTTCTCGAATATATGTGTTATTAGTGCTTTTATGTCTAGGATGGGTGATTTATTATGTTGTTATTGTCTAATTTGTAGGTTGGTAGCATATTATTGTTAAATAGTGAATTAGCATTTTTAAACAAAAATTAAGATTTTATTAAATTATATAAAGAAATATAGTTTAATGAATTGAAGAGAAAAAGATGAAACATGTTTGTTAAGGGGTTGTGTGGAATGTTTAGAGATCAATATTTATTAGTGAGTAAAGACATGTTTTTATTTACAGATAAGAGTGTTTGACGAATTTATATGTGTTCGTATTTCTACATTTTTTTACGATTTAATTGGATCTTAACGTTATTAGTAATTTAATAACCATATGTAACCAAATATAGGTATTTGTTACTATACAACTATAATATGGGAACGAAGAAGAAATAATTTTGTTATTCGAAAAGAAATATAGTTTGTTGTTTTCAATGTGCCATGACATGTTTTGAAAATATATAACTGTAGTTTAATAAATGCTAATGCTTCGTATAATTATATACATGTATGACTAAGATAGTTATTCTTTTTTTGTATTTGTCAAAAATATTTTGTGGTAGTTTAAAAATGGGAATGGTAGATTAAAAAGTTTAGTCGTATAGGACTATATTTGAACACAATGAAAATGTACTAGTTGGGTTTTAAATGATTGGACTTGAAATTTGATGAGTCTTGAGTCTCAATTTAGATCTGAAACTGGATTGTTTATTCGCCCTTTTAGTTTCTCCTCGTCATCTTAAGTAGTGTGACAAGCTCTTGTGATTCTTGGTCTGATTGTGTTTTTAGTGTGTAATTTTGCGAAATTATGGTTTTTCTATAGCAACATAGAAGAGAGATCAGCTCACCTCAATTAAGGCTGTCTCCGTCGCATTCCTTACTCAGTGAACCTCTGTTGATTCGGTGTTCTTGGAACCTGCAATAAGAAGGTTTGAATTTGTTGTATGACTTTATTTCTATTATTATTAGTTTCGTTTACTAAAACCTATACTGAATGATTTGAGTAACTATATGTTAATTTGATTTAAGGTTCTATATGTTAATTTGGTTGATATGGCTTATGTTTACTTTAACATGACAGAGAGACTTGAAGACCGCATGACGGATGTCGGTGACGCTAGTTTTAGGAACTGGAGAAGGAGAGAGAGACATTTTCTAGAAGATGGTTAAAGTTAAGAGGAATAGATAAGTTTTGTGGAGATGCACATAGGGTTCATCAAAGATGAGAATCATATATATATGATTTACAGAGAGGTTACAAATCAGGAACATTTATGATCAAGCGATGTAAGATGGGGAGAGGAAAAGTTCACCGGTGAAAAAAATAGATTACGAACAGACATACGGCGCAGCTCTGTAACTCAGACATGTATGAGACGATGGTGAAAGGAATTTTAACTCATTTTAAACATTGACGGTTTACAATATGGAAAAACTATAATTGTTATAAATTTCAGGATTTTCTTCATATAATGTGATGAAGCTCAATTAAAAATGAAACTCATAATACACTTCCAGGCCCGAACTTTAAAGGAGGCCATAAATGCAAAGGCTTCCGGCTAAATATATATTAGTTTCGGCCATCAATGTACAAGTTATCTTGTAGTTTAGTGGTATGAATGTTAGTGTTTGTTTCTTAATAACCCGGATTCTAATCATATGTTTGACATTTTTCATATTTTTTAAAGTGGAACCCACCTAATGCTGACGTGGCGCACTGAGGAGTCTTAAAACTCAACTATTATAATATAGATTCTATTTTTGATTGAATGTATTTGAAAATGAATAGTCAACTTATAGTATTTTAAACAATTTCCTTACAGTAGCTAGACTCAAGATCATAACTATACAAATGATTATCAATAAGTAATTTACAGGTTAATATTTGAAATAAAACTACATTCCACTCCTTCATAATTTTTTTTCCAACAGTGAACCCAAAATGCATAAGTTTTACTTAGTTTGTATGATTTTCAATAATATGAACAGCATTTAAATATTATTAAGTAATAAAACTAATTTGTATTATAATTGTTCAATTATAGTCACGATTATGCAAATCTATATAAATTTAATTTGTTTAAAACAATATGTGTGTATGGATGAAGAAAAATTATTAATTTAGCTAATTGAATTAAGTTTTCAAAGGTTTGGGCATATGTAAGCATATTTGTTTTTTGTTTAATATGAATTATTTGTTAGTATTGACAAAGCTGTTCTATGTGAATAAGATATTGGACATAGTGATTGAATTTTCTAATAAAAGTACGATCTTTCTTTGTCAAAACTTTTAAAGTATTATTGTGTTAGCTTAGCCATAGTTTTATGAAAAAAGCACGAAAACTTATTTGAATATTATTACTCCATTTCTTAGGATCCATATCTGATTATTTAACTTCTAAGCATGCGTCACTAATGCATTAAGAAATATAAAGTTTAATTATGTAGTTGTAGTAATGAATCTGATGATCTCGATCATTTGACTTAGTAAAATAATGAAAATAATACATCGGCTGTATGTGGGTGCCCATACAGCTGCGTCTCGACAGTCTCCTCAAGATCCTATCTGTAGTACAGATTGGTCTTCTTGCCTAGTTTAACTTTTTTTCCTTTTTATCTGTCAAACTTCTAATTATTTTCAAAAAAAAAAATGTATTTATTTTCAAATAGTTCATCACTTAAACGATTAATTAAACATTCACATGAATAAAAATAACGATGTCGATTTTAATTTGATGTGATGAAACATACGTGTGGAAACAGAGCAAAACGACAGAAGTTAATGAAATAGAAGTATATGACATAAGTTAATGAAATAGGAGTATACAACAGAAATAAATGAAGGCAATTTTATTATATTTATAATTTATTTTGAATTTTAGCAAAAACTATACTTTGATTTATATATATATATATATTTATTTATTTATTTATTTGTGTATGGTATATATTTTCAAATTAATCATATATTAAAATATTTGTATAACTTTTTAGATATAATATTTTTATAGTTTACATATCGTAATTGATATATTGCTTTAAATGTCACATATATTTTTTATTTTTATTATATATTTATTTTATTAAATTTATATTTGATTATTAAACTAAACTAACATACATGAAATAACATATTTAAAAATTAATTTATAATAATTTATTTTAAATTTTTACTCATACTTCAAAACTTTGAATTAGTTTTTAACAATGATATGTTTATTCATTTTTAAATAATATTATTGTATACACACAAATTTAAGATATGTTAATTTGTATACATGTATTATATAGTTTGGTATGTTAACTCGTTTTGCTAACATATTATATTCTTTTAGCATAAAATTTTCTATTTATGAATATATAGTATATTAATATGTCAATTTAATATAATTTTTCAGTATAATAATTATTTTAATATGATATACTATAACTATAAAATTTAATAACATTAAGAAATTTTTGTTTTTTATTATATAAATGATAACTGATTATGTTATAATATTTTATTATCAATTAAGAATTAATGGAAACATTTACATAAAATTTTAAAAATTAAGATCTTGCTAAAAACTATATCAATAGATTTGCTAGAATTTTTAAATATGTACATTTATACTTAAAATGAAAAGTATCAAAATATATTATAATTAAATTAGTTACATGTATTTTATATTATTATTTTTAATGATATACATTCATAAATTGCTAAGGAAAGTGAAACTAAAACAATCACATTAAAGATTAAAGAAGTTATGATTTTCTGTTTCAATAATATAGATAAAGAATTGAGATTGATTGAATCAATATTATTAGTAGCCCACTAAAGATGATGCCAACTAAATACCGACGTGCTCCACTTTGGGGCCAACTCACCTCTCATATCGAAGTGGTGAACTGAGAGATATATAAAAATTACGAAGCATAAGGTAACGTATTACTCCATCTGGGTGTGGCAGTGGGACGGATTGAATATCCAAAGTATTTTAGAATATCTGGATCCAGATTCATTAGATCCATGAAAATGTTATCCAAATTTGGATTTGCATTTTCAGATATCTGGGATTTGGATATTCAGATAAGAATTCGAATATTCGTGGATATCTGGATTTATATTTTAAATAAAAAATTAATTTTTTTAAAAAAATAAAAAAAATAATTTATTATTTATTTATTCAAATTTATTTATACAAAATAAAATATTAAATTTAATAAAAAAATAAATCTATTTATTTTATATAGAAATTACATATACATATATTAATATAATTATATTTAAAATATTTTTAAAATGTATAGTGAATGTGCATTTGGATATCTGGATTTAAAATTTCACTATTCAGATATGTATCCCGATCCGCCAGATTTATAAAATCACTATTTGGATTCTGATCTGGACCACCCAGATATCCAGTTTTTAGAGCAGATTGAAGAAGATTCTTGATCGAGTAATAGATAGTGGATATTAAGTCTCAACCTCAGTTCCACCTATCAATGGCAGCGATTATTGTCTTGCATGTATCTTTCTCTGCTTTGTTTGTCATTTTAACTTTTTACACATATATTAAAAAATATTTGATTTTATATAATAAAAATATTATTATCTATATATCTAACCATATTTCATTCAATGAAAAAAATAAAATGATATATGAAATCAATAAATGTTGCATTGGAATTATAAACAACATTTATGTTAAAACGAAAATTTTACTTCATAACAATAAATAAATTAAAATGGAAAAATATATTATTAATAATAAATTTATATTTTCCATACGGATTCAAATTCTTATCATAACCAGCAAAAGTGTCTATTTCCACTAAATATTAATGGTACAAATATCAGTAAAGCAATTGCATGATTCATACAGCTACTACACTAAATACCTAAATTATTTTTTTATTTATATGAAAGTAACAAAATATATTCTCTTTTCTCAGTTCAAAAATAAGGCAACAATGTTGAGAAAATACTCAGGATGGGAATAAAAAAAAAAGATTTGAAACAAAAAGGAATGAAAGGAAAACACTTTTAAAAACGTTTCAAAAGTAGAATGAAAAGGATAAAAATAACTCTGCCTCTCTGGAATCTGATAGGTGAAGAAGGTAAGCGCACAGTTTCACATTGACCCGACAGAATCTTCTTTTTATTAAACCAAATATATACTGTATGTATTGAATTAGTTGCTATTTTAATAAACATCCCCAGCTATTTTCCAGGCTGTTTCTATTTCTCAACTCTTTCCATTTTTATACCTTCTTCTACTTTCTTTTTTCACTCAGCATCTCTCTCTCTCAAACCTTAACCAAGTGTGTTTGCTCTAGCTTTCCTCTCCAATCTCAAACTCGATCAAAGCGTTTGTGGATATAACCTTAAATTCAAATGGATCCGTGCTCTTTCGTACGGATCATAGTCGGAAACTTAGCCGTTAGATTCCCATCTCCCTCGTTGTCTTCTTCATCTGAACCGTCTGTTTCCGGAACCAATACTTCCTCAGCCTCAGCTCCTAACTGCTACTCCAAAATCAAATTCAAGTCTTTCCCTCGTCAGATCATCTCCGTTCCGGTTATCTTCCGAACCGAATCTGAACCCGAGACTCGTTGCTCAACCGTCGCAGCTTGCTTCAGTCTAAGCAAAGCTCAGATCGAAGCCTCCCTCAAGAAGCCTAAGTCGAGTGTCCTCTCCGTCGAGACTTACTCACGCGGCGAAGGCGTTAGCGGCGCGTCGTGTGGACTCGCTTCCGTGAGCGAGAAGTTGTTAGGAAGATTCGAGGTTTCGTTAGATTTAAAAGCCGCGGAGACGAAGACGTGTTTGGCACACAACGGATGGGTCGCCTTGGGGTCTAAGAAATCAAGGAATAAAGCTGGATCCGATCCGGAGCTCCACGTTACTGTACGGGTTGAACCCGACCCGAGATTCGTGTTTCAGTTCGACGGCGAGCCGGAGTGTAGTCCTCAGGTTTTCCAAGTACAAGGAAACACAAGACAAGCGGTTTTCACTTGCAAGTTCGGCGCTAGAAACACCGGTTCCGGCGATCGGAATCTTCTTCACAGGTTAGTTAAAAATAGAAACATTTCCTTTTTTAGATTATATTCTTTCCTTGGTAAAACAGCAAGAAATATTTTTATTACCGAACCTAAATTGATTTTTTTGTTATTAATTAAATATTACAGCTCTTCGATGATGTCCGAAACGAGAAGTAGTTGCATATCGTCGATGAAATCGGAGAAGGAACAACCATCGAAAGAGAGAAAAGGTTGGTCTGTAACGGTCCATGATCTCTCCGGGTCGCCTGTAGCGATGGCCTCAATGGTCACACCTTTCGTTCCATCTCCAGGTTCGAACCGCGTGACGCGATCAAGTCCCGGCGCGTGGCTTATTATGAGACCCGACGGTTGCACGTGGAAGCCATGGGGGAGACTAGAGGCGTGGCGTGAAGCTGGTTACTCCGACACACTTGGTTACCGTTTCGAGCTCTTTCAAGATGGAATCGCCACGGAGGTCTCTGCCTCGTCGTCTATAAGTTTGAAAAGTGGCGGGAGTTTTGTTATTGATGTCACCGGTGGGACAAACACGGCGGGATCTACGCCCATGACGAGTCCTCAGGGAAGTTTGGATCTCGGATCCGGGTCAAGTGCCGGGTCGAGACCCGCGTCGAGACCTGGATCGGGGTCCGGGTCGGATTTTGGATATTTACTGCCGCAGCATCCGGGGCAGAGCAGGGGGTTTGTGATGTCGGCGTCGGTGGAAGGAGTGGGGAAACAGAGCAAACCGGAGGTGGAAGTGGGTGTGACGCACGTGACATGCACGGAGGATGCAGCAGCGCACGTGGCGTTAGCTGCGGCGGTGGATCTGAGTTTGGATGCTTGCAGGCTGTTTTCTCAGAAGCTAAGGAAAGAGCTGAGACAGCAAAGCCAGCTTGGTGTCGTTTGACGTGTATTGCTTTGTCGTTTTACCAATTCATGAGTTGTCTTCCACTCACCAATTTTTCTTTTCTTGTCTTCTGGAAAATGTTTTTTTTTCTGAGGTAGCGTTAGGAATTAGGCAATTAGCCAGCCAATTTTTGAGAAGGTGGATGTCATCATTATTAAGATTGTTTATATGTTTTATGTACAGCTAAGAAATGACAGAAGCAACTTCTTATCTCATTATCTTATCCTAGTCCAAACGGTCCATTCGAATGGAACATGTCAACATGGTACAATCAGTGCTGATCATCTGGTTTGGACAGTGATTTCATCGTCACAAACCCACCTGCATAAACCAATGGGTATAGCCCAACCTCGTTCCAGGATTAGTTAAGGGCAATTCTTAGTTTGTATGCTGGAAAACGGAGCTTCTTGGAACAACAATTGTGAAGCAAAACACGTTTTGAGTGATAGTGATGAGATTACAGTGAAACCTCTATAAATTAATAATGTTGGGACTACACCAAAAGTAAAAAAATTATTAATTTATAGAGATTATTAATTTATTGAGATATTAATTGAACCAAATATTCAATTTGGTACTATGAAATTATATTAATTTATAGAGATATTAATTTATAGATTATTAATTTAAAGAGGTTAGTATTGAGTTTCATAGCCCATAGATTGGACAAAACCTAAAGAAGGGTGGCTTTGTGGCTGATGTCCAACCAAGAGTATCAAAATCTGCATAGTTTTTAAACTTCTACAGAATTATTAGGAGAAATGTTTATTTATAAAATCGTACAAGAGTTTGATATTACCGAGTCATTCACATCAAGCCAGAAGTTTAAATTTAAATTCCAAGTTAGCCATAAAATAACAAAAATGTAACTAAGCAAGTCTTGAACACAAAGACAGTTTGGCCGAGTGGTCTAAGGCGCCAGATTTAGGCTCTGGTCCGAAAGGGCGTGGGTTCAAATCCCACAGCTGTCACATTTTTATGTATATTCGTTCTTTTTTGTGGTATTAACGTTTACTTGATTTAGGTACTTCGTTTCGGTGTTCACAAAAGGAAATGTTCGTCATTTTCCTCATTGACGGTGTATTCGGTTTCCTTTTTTTTTTCCTTTGATAAAGCAAAATATTAATCTGGAAATAAAGTAAAGACTATAACAAAAGAAGTGGTGGATCGTGAACGTTGAACATACATGAGAAAAAAATCGAAAGTCCATGAATAATTAAAGCACTAAAGGGCAATGACTTAATCTGAAAAATAAAATAATATGTAGATGCATGTAACGTGTTGGTGAATGGTGCATGCATTATTCATCGTATTATGGAAACAAATATTCTCGTTTCCATATTCGTTAAAAAGAAAAGCCATTACCTTAATCAAAATTGATAAAATATTTTACCAAATAAAAAATTGATAAAACCATATTATTATTATTATTTTTTTAACACTAATTTAACTTCCATATAAAATCCCTGAAACCTAGGGTAGAGTTTAGAGATAGAAGGGTAATGGAATAAGGAGACTTTAAACAAAAATGGCTTTTTAACCAAAGAGGGAAGCTTGATGCAACGTAGGATTGAAATCTAATTTCATCTGTTACACTTCGTGCAATAAGAAAGCTTGGCGTTAAAGCCTTTTTATGCTGATGTTCTACCTTCCATGAATTGAAGCTTTGTAGGCGAGGGAGAAGCTTGGATGATACATATTTAAGAGCTGGCCAGGCATTTGGTTTCTTGATTGCTGCTATTATATCAGAGTTGATGCTGGAGAAGATTATGTTTTGGAAGTGTAGGGAGTGAATACTTTCTATTGTCCATGTCCATGCTTCAAAGATGGAGTCAACTTTGGTTTTAATGTTTGTGAAAGATCTCCGTCCATGAAGTAGAACTCTTCCTTCTGAATCCCTGAGAATCCACGTAGCTCCTGATTCTTCTTTGGTGTCTTTCCAAAAACTATTTATGTCACATTTCAACATTTCAACCATGAAGGGGGAGGTGGTTTCCATCCAAAGATGATCCTTTTTTTCCCCTCCAGATCAATGGCTTTTTGCTCAGACTCCATTTCCTTGATTAAAAACCAATGATTGGCTTCATCAAATATTGATCTTGCGAAGGTTTGGCCAATAGATAAATTACCGTTGAAAAGGAGTTGATTCTTATTTTTCCATATTGACCAAACGATCCATGGACCGGACCTTCTTATGTGAAGAGGGATGGTGTGATCAATCCCCATTTTTAAAACGTAGTAGACGTTGGAGAAAATGGATGATTGATCAAAACCATTTGGTGGGAAAGGGAAGTTGCATTCTGCCCATGTTTGTCTTGCCACAGTACAAGTAAAGAGAGTATGGTTAATTGATTCACCATCCATACCGCATATTTGGCAACGCTCATCAATTCTCATTCCTCTTGTCTTCAAGTTGCCAGCCACTGGAAGAGCTCCACTAACTGCTTTCCAAAGAAAAATCTTTATTTTTGGCTCTGTTTTAGTGGACAAGATTCTATTTTTGATGTCGTTGGTGGAGGGTAGGAGCTTTGCCTTTATGAAGGTGTCTTTACTTTCAATGTGTTCAGCAAACCAATACCCTGATTTGATTGTGTACTCTCCTGACCTGGTGTGGTTCCAACAAACAAAGTCTTCAGAGGATATAGTCGGTTTGATCTTCAGAATGAGCTCTATATCCTGCTTGAAAAATGTTTGGTTGAGCTTCTCAACATCCCAAGTTTGAGAAAATGGGTCAATGAGATTTGAAACTTTTAAGTCTAGGTCTATTGGGAAATGCTTAATGAGCGGAATGCGCATGATGTCTCCATCAGTAAGCCACGGAGTTGCCCACACCGAGGTTGAGAGACCATTACCTATCATTGGCCTTAAACCTTTAATTAATAGAGACCGTCCATGAAGAATGCTTTTCCAAGCATATGATGGTCTTGTTCCTTCTGCAGCTTGAAGGAAATTCCCCTGTGGGAAGTATCTGCTTTTCAAAAAACGAGAGAGAAGAGAGTCCTTATTTGTTGTAATTCTCCAAGCTTGTTTTGCAAGGAGGGCTTGGTTAAAGGTGACAATGTCTTTGAAACCCATACCACCAAATTCTTTGGGTACGCATAACTTGTCCCAACTGACCCAGTGAATTTTGCTCTTATCTTCAGATGTGGACCACCAAAAGGATGCCATTGCAGAGACAGATTAGTACATGTGGTTTTGGGCAACTTGAAACAAGTCTTTGCATGAATGGGCATGGCCATTGCAATGGATTTGATGAGGATTTCTTTCCCGGCTTGGGATAGAAATTTTGTGTACCAATTTGACATTCTGCCTTTCATCTTTTCCTTAATATAAGATAGCATCTCAACCTTAGATCCGCTAAAACATTCAGGTAAGCCTAGATATGTTCCAGCTCCCCCTTCCGAGTTAATACCTAGTGCTTCTTGTATCTGGAGACGTTTGTCAGAGTCCACTTTTTTTCCGAAAGTGATAGAAGATTTGGAAAGGTTGATTACTTGGCCCGTTGCTTCACTATATCTCTGCATGATCTGTTTAAAGGCTTGGAATTGAGCAATATCAGCTTTGAAGAGGAACAGACTATCGTCTGCAAAAAATAGATGGTGAAGCTGTGGCCCAAGAAAATCAAACTGGATTCCTGTTAAGGAGGAGGCTGAGATAGCCTGGTTGAGCATGTGTGTTAGACCTTCAGTACATAGCACAAAAAGGAAAGGTGATAGAGGGTCTCCTTGCCTTAGTCCTCTTTCCGGAGTTATTAGTCCATAGGATTGACCATTCAGGAGGACAGAATAAGTAACCGTAGTTACACAAGCCATAATCCAATTAACAAAAATGTTGTGGAAGCCTAGAGATGAGAGCAGAGCATGTAGGTAATTCCATTCAACTCTATCAAAAGCTTTGGACATATCGGTTTTGACAGCCATGAAGGATTTGGAGATAGCTTCATGAGTTCTAAGACTGTGTACCGCTTCATGAGCTAGGATTATGTTGTCAGAGATGAGGCGATCAGAGACAAAGGCAGATTGAGTTGGAGAGACTATGTCTGGGAGAAAAGGCTGCAGTCTTGAGGTAATAATCTTTGAAATTGTTTTGTACATAACCGTACAAAGGCTTATTGGTCTTAGGTCAGTCATGGTATCTGCATTAGGCTTCTTTGGAATGAGGCAGATTTGAGTGTAGTTCCATTCATTTGGCATGGCTCCTGTTTGAAAAAATTGCAGGACTTCTTTGGTAAGTTGATCACCTACAATCTCCCAATATTTTTGGAAGAAGAAGGCAGACATGCCATCAGCTCCAGGAGCACTTTCTGGCTTGATAGAGAAGACTGCTTCTTTGACCTCTTCCATTGTGACTGGTCTAGTAAGAATAGAGTTAATGTCCGTTGTAACTCTTGTAGGTATGTTTTGTAATAGATTCTGATAATCCATTGAGTTAGAGGATTGAAAGAGATCACCAAAAAACTTAATGGCAACTTGAGCTTTTGATGCTTCAGACTGTTTGGTATTTCCTAGAGAGTCTTTAAGTATTGATATTCTGTTCTTTGACCGTGCGATCTTAACAGCCATGTGAAAGATTTTGGTGTTGCCATCTCCATGTATGATCCAGTCATCTTTACACTTTTGTTTCTAAAATTTCTCTTCTTCTTTATATGCTAGTAGTAGAGACTTATTAAGGTCATAAATCTTAGTAGAAGAGGGGGACAGCAGTGATTGCTCGTGTTCCAATGCTGCTTGTAGATGAAAGATTTTTTGTTGTGAGTTTGCTTCATTGTCTTTTTTCCATCTACTCAGAGCCTTTCTACAAGATCTGATTCTTAAGGCCACATTTGAGTAAGAACTTGTGTTGGTTGGGTTCCAAGCTTTAGTAATCGCTTCAAGGACTTGAGGTTTAAGAAACATCCTCCTATCAAAGTGAAATGATCCTCTATAAGAGTCTTGTGAGGAAATGAGTTTAATCAAAACTGGTCTATGATCTGATCCTCTCTTTTCAAGGAAAGCTTGGTTTGTAGCAGGGAAAAGGTCAAACCATTCATTGTTACCGAAGGCTCGGTCCAATTTACTATGGATCCATTTGTTACACCTCTTTCCACTCCAAGTAAACCCATCACCTACACTAGGAAGCTCGGTCATTCCACAAACATCCAACATGTTTGTGAAATTTTCAAAGGAGGAGTCACTACTTCTAGGACCTCCTATCTTCTCTGAGTTATTTAGAATCTCGTTGAAGTCTCCAAACATACACCAACTTCCTGTCCTGTTTAAGCTAAACCGCGAGAGCCTTTCCCAGACTATGTGTCTGAGTTTGTAGTTGGGGTTTCCGTACACACAAGAAAAGTAGAAATGTTTATCCTGATAGGAAGCTTTTACATCTAGTACATTCTTGTCTTGATACAAAATGTTAAGAGCTACACTGTCCTTCCAAAAAAGAGCCAAACCCCCCCCCCCCAAGAGTTAACGGGTTCTACAGTGCATACATGATCATATCCTAACCAAACTTGCAAATCAACTAGAACCAATCTAGGATGCATAGTTTCTATAAGAAATAAAACCTCTGTAAAATACGTACGTCGTAGTTCCACAAGGCGTTGGACTGTCAAGCCATGAGGATATCCCAAACCTCGGCAGTTCCAACTGATAAAACTCATACTTGATTAAGCGTTGGACGGTCCCTCCTTAGGGCCCGCCAATGTAGCAGAAGTTGAGGATGAACCATTGTGAGAATCATCATCCTTGTAGGGAGGGATCTCAGCGGCAGTCTGTCCTTGATTCACCTTTTTCGAGGGGGAGAGCGATTCTGCAATGTCGTCTTCCGCTTTTCTCTTCATGCTGGATTTTGGTTGTTGTGACTTTGTGGCTTTCTTTTGCTCTTTCTGTACTTTCTTGTATCTTCCGGGTTGCTTCTTTGGGACTTCAGAGGGCATTTGAGCGAGTCTTGAGAAAACTCCTGAGCTGTTGGTAACAAGACCATCTGAGAATGACAGGTTAGTAAGTGGAGTGAGCCTATCAAATACCGAGCTCTGTGAGACTGTGTTTGCATCACTTGCCGCTATAGCTGAAGACATCAACTTAGGTGAAGAGGGGTTAAGGTAAGAGGCATGAGTTCCAGCTTGACTTTGATCGAAATTAAAGACTATACCCTTTCCTTTGTCTAGCTCCTTGGTGGTTTGCGGAGTAGTGATTAGAGCCGATGAGGTGTTTTCAGCTTCCTTGACAGAGAAGATAACTCTTTGTTCTCTCACATGTCGGTCTTCTTGGCTTGCTGCTAGGAGATAGTTCCTCATCTCCTGTAATACTTCCGGTGGGATCTTGGGGCGTCCAGAGATCGGATTGAGATCTACTTGGTCTTCTTGTAGGACACCAAAGAGAGGATCGTCTGGAGGAATAAGTCTTGCGTTATTAGGGTTGAAAAAAACACGATTCTTTTTGATGTTGGCTGCATGCACTCTTTGATGATCGGATAAAAGTGGGCATCGCTCTTTTGCATGCGTCATGCGTTGGCAGAAGGTGCACCTTTTCTGGACTTTTTTTGTAGAAGAAGTAGATCGTCGTTTGTCCTCCTCCGGGAAGGTTGAGGATCCTTGACTGTTTAAGTGGCTTGGTGACCTCCATCTTTATCTTGACCCTAACATAGTCTTGTCTGTGTGATTTCTCTGGATCAAAAGCGACAAGTTCAACATGACCGATGAGACCACCTAGTTCAGCAATGGCCGGCTCCGTGAAGTGATTCACCGGTATGTTGCTAATCCGGACCCAGAGTGAGACGAACTGCAGAAAGCTAGGAGGAGGCTTTTCTACCCATCTTTCAATCGCCAAACCCCAATCGTTGTAGGTTTGCATGCCCTTATCTAGAACATCTTGTAGATCATTTGCATGCGAGAAGATGAACTGGAAACGATCTCTGGTGAGAGCTAAACCTCTAACCCGATTCACCTTTTGCCATTTCCGAGGCATATCAAGGATCAGATTGGAAATTTTTTGAAATTCTGGGTTGAGGGTACGGCCAATCAGGCTGCATGTGTTCCTCTCAGTTGCGAAGAACTGCGGAAGATCTGGTAAAGTGTATGGGGGCATCATCATCGTCGTTTAGGGAGAGGTTTAGAAGAGCTTGATCCATTTCTGAGTTCATTTTGTTGTGTGGAATGAGAAGTATTGTCTAGCTCAATATAAAGAGAACGATGGGAATATGAACCGATGGCTAGTAGGTATAGGTCTAGGTAGGGGAAACCGAAAAGTTGTGAAATGATTTGAGCTTTTCTTGTTGCAGGAGACAAGAAAAGGGTCCGGTGCTCTAGATAAGATCTTCTAAAAACCATATTATTATACAAAGACACGTAAACAAATACACTAGAACCTCTATAAATTAATACTCGATAAATTAATATATACTAAATATTTATATAAAATAATATAATTTTATAGTTTTAAATTAAAATTTTAGTTTTATTAGTATATCGATAGATTAATATATTTCTAAATTAATTAAAAAAAATATTTGGTGTAATCATAATATTATTAATTTATAGAGGTTCTACTGTAGTAAATTTGAAGGGAGACTAGTAAAAGCTGAAAAGCCATGAGTTTTTATTTATAATATTTCATACCAACCCTTTAAGATACATCACAGCATGACGACACATAATATGATAAACACAAAGATCGAGAGACATCTTCTGATGTTTCTTATGTAATTTGTCAAGTTACAGCTTCAAAGTTTCAACCCTGGTTTGGTGGCATCAGTCAACTCCACTATCCACCCCTTCTTATCCTCGACCCGGCCCATCTGGATATCCGTTAACGTCGCAAAGAGCTTCGCAGCCAATGTCTTATCACCTGTTTTGAATCCAGTCCTGTTATATACACCCAATTATTTAGTCAACATATGAAAATAAAACAAAACACAAGCCGATTCGTGGTATAGTATTGTGTATATTTGTTGATAACAATTACTTTTTCTCCTTGAAGGTTACGGACGCAATAGTGGTCACAATTGCAGCAGTTCCAGTGCAGAAAACTTCTTCAGCATCGAGAAGATCCTCAACGGGAACAACACGTTCCTCGACCTATTAAAATGATGAGAATCAAAGCAAATGATCAGATTTAATGAATATTGTTTACAAACTTGTATCAAATATGATGTTGAAATTAATATTCAAACCTCGTAGCCGAAATCACGAGTTAATTCGATGACACTTTTACGTGTGACTCCGGGCAATATGGTTCCTGAAATCTCTGGAGTCGACACAACATTTCCCTACAAAACAATATTACATATCGATCATAATGTAATCTTAAACATCTTAATAAAACGTCTAAATGACTATTTACTTCTAATTACCTTGACTATGAAAACGTTAGAAGCGAAAAGCTCTTCGACGTTTTTGCCAGTTGCAGCATCCAAAAACAAAACATCAGAGAAACCTTGTTCTTTTGCCTCTGCTAATGTTATCCAAACCTTCAACAAAGAAAAATTTCATTACATTTTTAATTAACTAATCGTTCAGAAAATATAAAACACTGCTTATGTTAATATTATTGGCCGTAGGGCCGTTTTTCGCATGTGAATTGGTAGAGTCAAACATGGTTTAATCTTTTAAAAAATCTTACTATTTTTAAACAAATGTATAAATCAGAACCTAAACTTGTAGACTTTTAATTATACTTTGAATTTTAGATCAATAATTTAAAAGAAAAGTAAAACATATAACTATGCATTTTAAAAAATATAATGTTAATAAATTTTGGAACATAACCTAAGAGACCTATGTAATTGATTATTTCTTTCAAACTTACAGGAGAATAGTTTGTGATACTCTTCACACCACCGGTTCCACTTGGAAAAGCACGACGAAACTTATCTTCAATTTTCAGGTTCAACCCCGCGTTATCCTATACCAAGAAACAAAATTTCACCAAAATCATTACAACATTATAGTTTAAAATAATAAAGACGATGTTGAGAAGAACACACTCACCTTGTGATAACGTCCAACAGGACATGCAAACACTGTAAAGGTGTACTCGGGAACAGGAAGTGAGCCAAGTATAGGACCACTCCCAAACATGATTGGTCTAATATACAATGTTCCTCTCCCCGGAGGAGGAATCTATATATACAAAATTACAAGAAGTCATTACATATTTCAAAAATATATTCGTTTTTAAAAAAATATTATCATGTATAATAATGAATGGTATAGAAGTTTGAGTACAGCTTTGTACATACCCATTTCTTGTTGGCAAGAACAACTTGTTTGACGGCGGAGACGAATTGCTCGACCGTGGGATAAGGCATACAAAGTCTACTGGCTCCGGATTGAAGGCGGAGAGCGTTTTGGTCTGGTCGGAATAGCACAATCCGGCCATCTTCTGTCCTGTAAGCCTTTAGCCCTTCATATAAACCCTATTCATGTCCAAACCACAAATATTTCAGATTATTTTGCTTGCACATAACTCAGATCCGCCATCATGTTTCATATATTAAAAGAAAATTCACTTGTACAGTTTATAGGGCAGTCCATTCAGTTTGGTATATATATTAATGTATTTTAATTTAAACATGTTTACAGTAGCTATCTAGTTAAAAACTTACTTGAGAGTCGTTTATTGTGCCATCTATATCTATAAGACTACACAATTGTACGTAGGTCACAATAAATTGATAGCAATATCATCATATGGGACAACACATTCAAACAGTTTTGTTTGATTTTATATACTATATATATTGCGATCTTGCCAAATACAAAGTCTAATTAATAGCTAAAATATGCATGCAATGCTAAAAGATATACTAACTCTATATGTGATGATGGATGCATGTTCTGACTATAGATTTTCTTAATTAATTGATCTCTATTGATTAATAACAAACCTGGCCATAGTTAAGAACTGCAGAGCAAGGGCTGATTTGCAAATCAGCATAGGGAACGATCTTCCCCTCTTGAAAACTCTCTCCATGTTTGCACTTGGCAACATACATGTTGTCAGTACGATAAAACCCGAATCCTAATTCTTCCCACTTCACATTCGCGTATTTCTCATCCGAAACACTGTTAAAAGAAATAATAATCATCATCAATCATATATATACATATATATATATAATATATCATATTATTAGATTTATCTACGTAAATGCGAGATTATTATAATCTTTTCTTAATGCATACAACTTTTCTTGCAATGATATATTTTACCTTGTAGGAAGAGATTGCGCAGAAGGAGCCATGGATTTCCTGTTTTGATAGTCGAGTTGCTTTTGTGTAAGAAACTTGAGTTGTCTGTCTATAAGGCTTTGGACTGCTTCTCTTTATATATACGTCTACAACCAACTTTTTATTATTTCTTATAATAATATTAAACTTAAGCGAAAAAAATAAGAATCTCTTGTACTTAAAAATTAAGAAAGTGTATTTCTTCCACTGAACCGGAAACAAAAGAAAAAAAGAATAGGTTATTTATTTTTGTCAGAAAATTAATAGTTTTATATAATTTGTCCTTGTTTTTCTTTTTTTTTTTCACAAATGATATTTTTTTCTTATTAATCAAGTTTACTCACTGATCCGATTAAGTTTATGTGTGCAAATATCATTTCGATGATTATGTAAGATTATCATTGTAGCTATATTAGTTTCTTGATGTTAATGTGCTATAGGTTTTGGTCGGTTATTTTACTAACGTCTTTAACGAAAAAAGAACAGGAACCCTAGTTAGATCACAGAATAAGCACCACGTGGAGAAGCACAGTTCTTTCTCGTCACGAGGAGAAAACTTTAAGATTAAAGAATTTATTTTTAATTATTAAAATTTTGAAGATGTGGCTGAAACTGAAAGAAAGATAGTGTTTAAAATGTGAATGTGCTCTTAGTTAGGTGGAGGTTAATGGGTAGGAGGAGGGTAGGTCAAATGTGTATTAGTGAAGGATTCAAATGTAAAAACACATAAAATTTTCAAGCTGTAGATAATTCTGATAAAGAAACATAATTTCTCAGTATGTCATTAACCTGAGAAAGCATTCTTGATTCTCCTACACAAAAAATGTTTGGGGCAGACCCATATATACTTTTCAGATTTTAAGAAAATACAAACCGAAGCACACATATCTCTTTAGCTAGTTCAATAACAATAACTCCAAATTCTTTTTCTTCATACTCATAATATACTTATCTCATGCATGTTTGTTTTTAATTTTCTAACTTAGGATTTAAAAAAAAAATTAAAACACTCATTAATAGTATGATATCATAGCTGCGAAAGTTACGTTTTCAGCTATTAACAGATAACAATAAGGTTTGGTTCATAAGTGTTTTCTAGATCCTTCATGCATTCACGAATTTCACGTGCTATTTTCCTTATTTTGTAAAATGGAAAACAGTATAAAAAAATGGAAAACAGTATGGGGGTCTCCTTCAACAGCACCACTAATAGTCCAAATGATTGGAACAAATAATAGAATAGATTACAGCCACAAAATGTACAGACGAGAAGTTCGAAACCCTACATAAGTTTATTCTTCCGAATATGCGTATGATATCATCACCATACATAATTACGTTTACATATATACACCTAGTGAAACGACATTCTCTAACGTTACAGTTTTATAATTCAAGAAAAAGAGGATATACATTAAGAGATATAGATCTATCCCTTGCATGCGGCTTGCGTCCATCTTTTTAGTGGTAGATGACATGGCTGTGCTGTAGATAGAATGTTCTCGTTTGTATCATATAATCTCGAAGCTGAATGTCTTATTTAGTTTTGTTTGCTGCGTGATATATTGGAAAATGAAGTTATATGTTCTTTGTGAATCCTGAGATGAATCGCTGATTATTACGGCATAACTAGTTTTTGTTCAATTGTTGTAAGATCAGTCTTTGTTTATAGGAGAGGATAAAGAAGATGAGTAAGGACTAAGACTAATGTGCAGCTAATATGTATGCTTTTGGATTTTTTTTTTTTTTTTGTAACACGAAACATTTATATTAAAATTAAGTATCAAACATACTTAAACAGATACAACCAGAGGTAAACTCAACTGCTAAACGATAAATAAGACACTACAACAATATGAAGGATAGATGTGTTAAAGGGGCGAAGATACAAGTCGAGATGCTTCACTTGAGACTCTAAAACTGATGTTCCTAAGAACATACTAAAGTCGGAACATGAACCGACAACAGAGGACCCTAAAGGATGGGTTTGAAAATGGTTGGTAGACACCAACATTGATGATGGTAGATTCTCCATTGCTTCAAATAAAGTGATTGTATCAGATTGGACCAGTGGAGGATAAGTATGTCTCGGGTTTCCGATGGAGCTTCCTCGGAGATGGAGGTTGTTGGTCAGCAAGAGCATCTGTGTCCCTCTAGAACTGTAGCAAAAAGTGATAGAAAAGGGCCTCCATTGCCTAGATTTGACACTAATATTCAGAAATAATGGAGCAGTGATTATGTGACTTCTACTGATGGACTGTAAAAATAATGAGAACAATGATGGACACACAGCCGTATCAGACAAGTCCATAACCAAACACAAAATATCACTTTGGACTGTGTGAACCCTGTAACCTGAAACTAGCCGACATAGTTTGAACCGGCGAGATGAAAATGGTTGAGTCGCCGGTGGATGAGCATGAGACGCAGAGCTTGTCGGAGTAGTAGGAGAGTGGAGTGGAAGTTGGAGGTGGAGCAACACTTGATAGATGTAGATCTGGTTTTGACTCAGTTGCATCCACCACGGAGGGGGGTGAGCTTCCGTTCAAAGGAGGTTTAGATCCCGTGGATCCAGACCAGCTGATGGTGCTGACAACATTAACCTACATGGTTCTGCCTGCTACTAGATGACCTGTGACGAGGAGATGAACAAGGGAGAGTACGGTGAATCAGAGAGGAAGACGCGGTGACGTGTGGAAGAGTAGTAGAGGTGACGACACGAAAGATCAACGAAACAGATCTGTAGAAGATGACAAGGGCAGGGGCCCAGATGTTGAAGACGACGACAAGATACAGAGAGAACACAGCGGAGCAAACGATGGAGTAGGGGACCCGACGCCGGCAGCCAGAGGCTTTACCGGCATCGAGAGAGATGGCTTGCACTGCTGATTCGGAAATGGTGTCGAGGAGCGTTTCTAGGCGAACTACTTTTTAATTATTTCTTTAATTTGTATGCTTTTGGATTATGTGTGAACCTATCTATGCTTTTGGATTATATATAAACCTAATCTATGTTTTGAATTATGTACGAGTCCAATTTATGCTTTTCGATTCTGTAAAACATATGACTCATAAATTTTATGAAGTTAGACACTATTTTTTATTTGGGTTATGTAGACAATTTAATTGGTACTAAATCTTTACCCGTGTGACGGGTATTTAATTTTATATTATAATTTGTGTTTATACTTAACGTTATATTTGTAAATGTAAATGTTATATGTGTACTTATTTTTTTTTGAATTTTAGAGTAAAATATATAACTGATATTAAGTATCATATAACCAAATGCAAAATTTATATAATTAGATTCTTGTCTAAGATATATAGCTAATAATTTTGTTTAAATGAAAAGTTTGAAAATAGACAATTATGAATTAGCATGCTAATTATAAATGATACATTAGCTATAACATTTGTAAGAAAATAAAAATAATTGTTAAATTTCTACCAAATTTGAAACATAAAAAAATTAAGATTTAAATTTGATGTAACTGATAAGAAATTATAAATGGGCTTAAGTTTGTGTACATTTAAACTACATCTGTGCGTATATTTTCTTATAAACAAATATTTTGTAAGTGATAATTTATATTTTCAAAATTTATTTGTACTAAATAATTATTTAATAATGATACCTACAGTTACAAACATAGTAATTTTATGGTTTATATATATTGATTGATTTTATTTTGTCTTGTAAATCATCAATTGTATACATTTATTTTTTGAAAATCAAAAATTTATGGTAATATATAATAAATTATTTTATATACATGTCAAGTTGGTAATGTAATATATATTTATATTGGTGAAGATTAGTTTATTTTTTTAACAAAAAAAAAGAAAAAGGAGAGTAGCGTGACTGGTGGGGGAGAGTGAGACAAATGTAACTTATATTATTACATAAATATTTGTGTATCTTATTGATATGTAATATGTAGGTTGAAAATTTTATACTTAATTTATTTACTGTGAATTCAATTTAGGAAACATTTTATTAATTTTTAAAAAGACATAAAATGCATAGAATTATGAGTAATTATTACTTTATTAATTTTAAAAATTACAGATTACTTAAATCTAGATTCATTTAATTACTCAATGGCATTACGTTGTACATAAATTTTAAATCTAAGGGATAATCTATATTGTTAATACTAATTTAGTAAATTAGATGGTCTAAAATGGACTTGGCGTAATTGGATTTGGTACGATTTTGTGTTTGGTCAATAATGTCCAAAAAATCGCTTGTCCATTTAGACTAAACCATATGAATATGGACAATACGATTGACATCCCTAAAAACGTCCACGTAACAAAGGTGATACACTAGAGAAAATATGGTATATTTTCAGCTACTTAAGGGTGGACACAAGTTTAGCTGGACACAAGTCGATTACTTGATATTTTTGATATACTTAGTATTCGGTTTGGCTTGTACAAGTATTCAAATTTTAGATTTATACTTGTTTTTTTACAAACGAGTACTTGTAATTTCAAATACTTACGAAAAGTTGATGGACTTACAAGTTAATTGTCTTATTTTATTACTTGTTATTTGTAAACTTCTTACAAGTTACTTGATAAATATTGGTAAATTATTTAATAGTTATTTATAATTTAAAGGTAACTAATTTATTATGTATAAATAATATTTCATTGTTTCATTTTGTCATTGTTTTTTTAATTCTAATTTTTAGTCATTTGTGAAATATATTATATTAAGAAAGAAAAAATGCCAAAATGTTTATATAAATATATCCCTTATGCTTGATTCACTTATAAAAATTGAAATATAAATGAGTTGTTTTACTATGATTTAGAAAAATGTGTATTTGTTCATTAACAAAAACGAATAATAAACCAAACAACGGTAAATAAGTAGTTTTATTTTATTATTTTGTATTTTTTTATTTAAAGGCAGTTTAAATAAAATACTTGATACACTTCTTAGTCAAAACATTTATTCGACTTTAAGGATCGTGTATCAACCAAATAGTGAACATGAGACACGTAATAAGTAATTATGGCCACTTATAAAATATATAAATTATAATTAATTAATGAAATATATACTAAGTATTTAATAAATTAAGTAATATATGACAAGTAACAAGTAAATGATAACAAGTAATAAACCAAGTAGTTAAAAATTAAAATAAATTTGAAACTTAACTTGTACTTGCGAGTAATAAATTCCGTTTACTTGGTATTCGATTTAATTGGAACAAGTACTTGTTTTTTCAAACCAAACCGAATCAAATAGCGAATAGAAGACGAGTATCAAGCATTTGAGTCCAGCCATACAGCTACCTTCGATAAAGATGAACACAACAAATTTTATTCCTTTCGCAAAGAAAATCTTTTATTATATAAAGCAGAAGTCAGTTAGCAATTCTGGAAGTGACATGTGTCCTTTCTTACATTCATTTACCATTTTTTTACAAATTCATTTATGATATATTTGTCGAACACTGTTTTCAAATTTTTTTTAAATTTATTTTAGAAAAAATCAAACAGTTTTCTATTTCACGATTTTTAATTTTAACTGCCCACTTTCACCACTCTTCATCGTCAACCCATCACCCTCATTCATAAATACATATGGAATCTGGAAAAATTAGATTTAGCAATTACTTTTTTAACAGGTAAACCGTATATTGTTTATTCTGAATTATTATCAATTTTTTTTGTAAATGTACAACTTAAGAATTTTTTTTAAAGGTCTTATTTCAGGTACCACTGTACGTACTACAAGATAAAGCTTTTTTTTTTGAATAAGAACAAGATAAAGCTTACTTTCACACTAATCTCCAGTTAAAGCCTCTGAAAGTAAGATATGGAAAGTTGACAGGGAGTCGAGGAGTGGAAACTGAGGATGATTCATCGGTTTCGTATATTTTCTTATCTGGTTATATCAAACTCATCTGCTGTTTATTGTCTTTTTTTAATCTTTATTGCAATTTTGTTACTTTCATTTTAAGCAAAAAAAAAAAAAATTGTTACTTTCATCAGTTTTCTAATTTGAAATTGCAGATGTCGAGCCTTAAACTATACACTAGGGTTCATGAAATTGATGGCATCTTTTGACAACTCGGTAATAATCGTGTTTACAAGAAAGCAATGATCACGTTCGCATCCAGGCCAGCGTATGTTTTCCAAAAGTTAGTTCATGACAAGCATTAAAAGTAGATACCCTTTTTTAAGCACACTTGATTCCCAATTAATTTTACATGGTTTTTGGTAATAAATGTTGCTAAACTTGCTATGGATCTTTACAATAAGCATTAGTGTAAACTCCTTTCAGTATTATATTTTTAAACTTTTTTGCAAGATAAAATCATAGAGAAGAGAGAAGATAAAGTTTGCTGGTAAAACCCGTAATTAGTATGCTGCTGTTCTCATTTTTTTTAAAATATCTTATATACTGTTTGATGGCTTAATTTTGAAAATTATTTACAAGATTCTCAAAACATGTGTATACTTTTTAGTTTTTAAGTATCTTTGAACTTTTATTAAATATATCTTTCCTGTTAATCATACTTATTTTTTTACTAATCATATTACACATATTTACAGTACTCATATACAAAAAGAAATCATTTATTATTTTGAGTTATATTAAAAAAATGTGTCCATGCAAAGCATGGGCAGTAATACTAGTATCTCAATAAGGCTTCAGGCAAAGGGGGAATTGAGTTACTACAGAGATAAAGTGATTGAGAAAGAAATAGTGAAAAAATTCTCCGAGAGAGGCGGAAAAAAGAAAAGAAACCGATCTACACTAGGTTCTTCCAAAGTTTTTGGCTCCATGATGCATTGCTATTTTTTTGAGGCAATTTTATTTACTTCTTTTCCTTAGGACAAATTCCATATTAAGATATCAATTTAACTTGAATTTCCAATTTAACATAACAACTTTTTTATTTCTAATTTAGTACATCCAATTTTATTTCCATAAAAATATACCAATTTTTTTAAGTGTGCATTCTAATTTCCAATTTTTATTCCAAAAATTGTTAGAAATAAAGAAAATTAGTGTATCTGAATTGATAATTTAAATTAAATTGGTATATTACTATGGAACTTTTTCCTTTTTTTTTCTGATTAATATGGGCCTTTTAGAATGGGCCACATGCCAAAAGCCCATCTATGGCGTCGGTATATCTATATTGGTATAAAAGCCCAAATAAGTCGTAAAATATTTATAATCGTATCTACTTTCGAGCCGCGCCCATCTCACGAACAGCTCATTCCAGAGAGGAGAAATAAACCAAATAATCGAAACCCTAGAAAGCAATGGCGGAAGCAAATCCTGGCCGTGGAGGTGGAAGAAGAGGCGGTGGACCAATGGACGACGACAAATTAGTCTTCGAGACAACCGAAGGGATCGAGCCCATCACCAATTTCAACGATATGGGGATCAAGGAAGACGTTCTCCGCGGCGTCTACGAGTACGGGTTCGAGAAGCCCTCCGCGATTCAGCAGAGAGCGGTGATGCTGATTCTCCAAGGGAGAGATGTTATCGCTCAGGCTCAGTCCGGTACCGGAAAAACCTCTATGATTGCTCTCTCCGTCTGCCAAATCGTTGACACTTCGTCTAGAGAGTATGGTTTTGAAAAAACCCTAATTTCAAATATTTGAGCTTTTTTTGTTCTTTTGTTTGATTTCGTTATGGTTTGAAAAAAACCCTAATTTCAATTTTTGAACTTTTTTTGTTCTTATGTTTTGATTTCGTTATGATTTAAAAAAAAACCTAATTTTCAATTTTTGAACTTTGTTTGTTCTATGTTTGATTTCGTTATGGTTTGAAAAAATCCCTAATTTCAATTTTTGAACTTTTTTTGTTCTTATGTTTTGATTTCGTTATGGTTTAAAAAAAAACCTAATTTTCAATTTTTGAACTTTGTTTGATTTCGTTATGGTTTGAAAAAATCCCTAATTTCAATTTTTGAACTTTTTTTGTTCTTATGTTTTGATTTCGTTATGGTTTAAAAAAAAACCTAATTTTCAATTTTTGAACTTTGTTTGATTTCGTTATGGTTTGAAAAAATCCCTAATTTCAATTTTTGAACTTTTTTTGTTTTTATGTTTTGATTTCTATGGTTTGAAAAAAAAAATTAATTTACAATTTTATGAACTTTGATTGTTTTTATGTTGTTGTGGTTTTTGATTTTGTAGAGTTCAGGCGTTGATATTGTCACCAACGAGGGAGTTGGCTTCACAGACGGAGAAGACTATTCAAGCTATTGGGTTACATGCGAATATTCAGGCGCATGCTTGTATTGGTGGGAAGAGCGTTGGAGAAGATATTAGGAAGCTGGAGAATGGTGTTCATGTTGTGTCTGGGACACCTGGTCGTGTCTGTGATATGATTAAGAGGAGGAGTCTAAGGACCAGAGCTATTAAGCTTTTGATTCTTGATGAGTCTGATGAGATGCTTAGCAGAGGGTTTAAGGACCAAATCTATGATGTTTACAGATATCTTCCACCTGATCTTCAGGTAAAATTTCACTGCTCAAACATTATATGTTTCCTAACTCGTAGTTGATTGGCTGCTTGGGATCTGGGGGTTGATAGAATTTTGAGTTTGTTAAGAACATTGTTAAGTTGCTTGATTGATCCATGTGAAAGAACTTGGTAGCTATTAATTGTGGTAGGGAAGCTACATTCCATTATTTGATATCTTTAACCTGATACCGTGTGTTCATAGGTTTGTTTGGTTTCTGCAACTCTACCGCACGAGATTTTGGAGATGACATCCAAGTTTATGACGGAACCAGTTAAGATCCTTGTGAAGCGTGATGAATTGACTCTTGAGGTACGTTTCTTATTCTGAATCTGTATGCGTGGTTATGTTTAATTTTACGGTGGGGACACACTCATATTGCTTCACTGGCTAACTTTCCTGTAAAACTTTATCAGGGGATTAAACAATTTTTCGTTGCTGTTGAGAAAGAGGAGTGGAAATTTGATACTCTCTGTGATCTGTATGACACACTTACTATCACTCAAGCTGTTATCTTTTGCAACACAAAACGAAAGGTAATCCTTGTGCACATCTTTCTATATTTGAAAAAAAAATTAGATGATCAGGTATCTCATTTTGTTAACAGTAAGTCCGTAGTTCTGCGATCTTAACTTGATTTGGAATCTAGTAATTTCATTGTACTCGTTTGTGAGGCTATTAGTACCTGTTTATTCTTTAAAAGGAACGAGGTAAAAACACACCTGTATTTCTCTAGAATAATTACAGTCTCACCTTCCTAACTTTGTTTCAGTTATTTTGGTAATTAGGTTTCTATGGTTTCTTTTTCAACGCCTCGCTTAACTATCTCCTCATTTTTCATAGGTGGATTGGCTAAGTGAGAAAATGAGGACTAACAACTTCACAGTCTCATCAATGCACGGTGACATGCCGCAGAAGGAGAGAGACGAAATCATGAACCAGTTTAGGTCAGGCGACAGTCGTGTTTTGATCACGACAGATGTATGGGCACGTGGTATTGATGTGCAGCAAGTAAGTGATCCCTTACTCGCTATATTTCGTGTAGTTACTAATGCATGAAAAGTTTTCAAGTCCCCTGTCTTATTTAGGTCTCTGATTATGTGTCGTGAGATTGTGGTAAAGTTTGAATTGACATGAGACAACTTTCTTTCAACAGGTATCCCTTGTCATAAATTATGATCTCCCCAACAACCGTGAGCTCTACATCCACCGTATCGGACGGTCTGGTCGTTTCGGGCGCAAGGTAACAGATTATTTATAATTATGCATTGTTTCTTGTCGATTTAAACTAAAAATGGATATCTCTTTTTAACCAACTTTGCGGTCATTATTGTAGGGTGTGGCGATCAACTTTGTTAAAAGCGACGACATCAAGATCTTGCGAGACATTGAGCAGTACTACAGTACCCAGATTGACGAGATGCCAATGAATGTAGCTGATCTTATCTAAAAGAAGAAGTTTTTGTGATGGTCTTTGTGAGCTTTTCAGTGAGAAGTATCTGAATGAGGAAGTATTATTCAGAGCTTGTGTAAGATTATTGCATTATATTTTGATGCTTCACGCAAGACCTACCCACTTTGATGTTTTTGGAGTTTTTCGTGGGTTCTTTTGAACACTTGTGGTAAATGTTTCAGTGATTTGAGAAGCGATTTGGGTTTTAGGGTTTGGTCTATCTTTTCCTCGTAATTGATTTTGGGTGTTTTGAGCTCAAATCTCTCAACTGTCATTGCTTGTAAGACTTATGGTCCGCATTCAAAATGGTTCAGACAAGGTGTTGTGTAAGACTAATGTATCGCTCGTGATGTTCTTCTGGTTTTGGGGTCGGTGTACTTGTTTGTTGGTTGGTCATTTGATGAGTTTGGTAAAGATTTGATGAATGTTGTAACATGAAAATTAGTGGCACATTAAACTGAACCAAGATATGATAACCGGTTCCTACCTAATCAAACCACCAACTTCGCTGCAAGTCAGCGAAGCAGGACTCAATAATTTTGTTGTATCATCAATAATCTCATCTTATACAGTTTATCAAAAACAAATCGTTATCAGTAATAGTTGCATTTAAAACATTATTTGCAGTTGAGAATTAGCACCAAAAACTGTATCAGTAATAACTGCATTTAACCAGAGAGGCTAATAATTTGTCGATTACTAAATGACACACTATTAAGCAACGAGAGCTACCTCATGAGAGACCATCGAAACGAATCATCATTCACCCTCATCTTCAACTAATCAAACATGTACATCTTATAACTAGTTGTGTTACCCAACACAGTCGATCACGAACTTTATAAGTATAAGCTATTGCCCTTCCAAAAAAAAAACTCGCATGTGTGGAATTTGTCCAAAGTGCAAAAAAAAAAAGCTCGCACGTGTGGGATTGTCTTTTAGTTCTCACGTGCGAACACGAACCAGAGAGACTCAACTTTCTCTTCTGATCTCTGCTCTAGCTTTTGGTCAAATCGTCGGAGATAAATAAAGTTTTTGATTGACGTCAATCGTACGAAGGCGAATCTGGGGAGAGATCGACGATGGAGAATAACACGGACGTCTCTATTCATGATTTCCTGGAGCGGATGCGCAAACCCTCCGCCGCCGATCTTGTTAAATCCATTAAAAGGTTCCTTCCTTTCCCATCTCTATCTTTCTTTTTATCTTCTGTTTGCTATAGAATGATAACGTGTGAGCTAGATTCGTACTTTTTGATTTGAGTTAGTCTTATTAAGCTTAGTTGATTTGCTAGAAGAAAAAAAAAAGATTTAATTTTTTGTGATAGCAATATCTCTAGCTTAGATCTTATCACTGTTAGTCTCTGCAACGTGGATAATAACTTAGTTGAGGAGGGTATGTGTTTTGTGGGGTTTGCATTACTTTTTTTTTTTTGGCTTCATACTACAATGTGTGTGTTGCAGTTTCCTTGTTTCATTATTGAACAATGATCCAGACCCGGAGAAGGATTCAGCTTTAGTTCAGGACTTCTTTTCCAAGATGGAAGCTGCTTTCAGGTCTCATCCACTTTGGTCCGGTTGTTCTGAAGATGAACTAGACAGCGCTGGAGATGTTAGTATCATCATCACTGTCCTTCTCTTGACTCTTTCCATCTTCTTGCCTTTTAATTAATGTATACACAGGGCCTAGAGAAGTATGTCATGACAAAGCTGTTTCCTCGTGTCTTTGCTTCGAACACCGAGGATGTTATATCTGATGAGAAACTCTTTCAGAAGATGTCTTTGGTTCAACAGTTCATTTCTCCTGAGTATTTGGATATAAAACCAACTTTCCAAAACGAAACATCCTGGCTGGTGAGTCAATGCATATAGTGTGTTTCCACCTTCTTATTAGTGTTGTTTTTTAACTTGTGAATATTTTACTCTCTTTCTCTCCATTCCGCAGCTAGCTCAGAAAGAGCTCCAGAAGATAAACATGTACAAAGCTCCTCGTGATAAGCTTGTCTGTGTCCTTAACTGCTGCAAAGTGATCAACAACTTACTGCTTAACGCTTCCATTGCTTCAAATGAGAATGCACCTGGAGCCGACGAGTTTCTCCCTGTCTTGATATATGTTACTATAAAGGTACATTTCTGTAATGCTTTTTTGCTTTTGGTTTGTGCTCATTCTGTAATGTCTTTTCACAGGCTAATCCTCCACAGCTTCACTCAAATTTGTTGTATATACAAAGATATAGGCGTGAATCTAAACTTGTTGGTGAAGCTGCCTACTTCTTCACAAACATACTCTCTGCAGAGTCTTTCATCTCAAATATTGATGCAAAGTCACTTTCAATGGAGGAAGCTGAGTTTGAGAAGAGCATGGAATCTGCACGGGGACGTATCTCTGGGTTAAGCAGCCAGTCTACTACTGCAGCACCACCACCTCGTGACGAGACCACTGTTCATAAAACTCAAATGCTGAACCCCAAGAGAGAAGCCACTCTTTTCCAGTCAAGATCGTCTGATAGTCTCTCTGGAACCAGTGACATACTCAACGCACCCAACAGTGAAATACCAATGAAGAAAGCTGAATCCGTTTCAGATTTGGAAAATAAGGGTGCTGCAAGGCTTCTGAAGGATACAGAGGCAAGCAAAATCTTCCAAGAGTATCCTTACTTGTTTGCCAGTGCTGGTGATCTGAGGGTAGGAGATGTTGAAGGCTTGTTAAATAGTTATAAACAGATTGTGTTCAAATATGTGTGTCTTGCGAAAGGAGTGGGTGATGCAACAACATCTTTAGCTTCTTCATCAAGTCCACCCTTGCAAGCTTTGTCCGGTTTTGAGACGGCTAAGGAATCTGAGGAGAGTACGACATTATCTTCAGATGTTAGGGAAACTGACAGGAGCGTGGATGATCTGCTTCGAGCTCTACAGGGTGAAGGGGAAGCTGTTGTTAATAAGGTCTTAGATGTAAAACAAGAAGTTTTGGCAGAAGAACAAACATGAAGGAGATGCCACAAAAAAAATTGATTTGATGAAGTAAGCTCCAAAGAGTGAGTGTGTCAATCCAAGTACACGACCTGCAGGAGATGAGAGAAATTAATGAATCAATTTGTAGGAAACATAGAAAATGTTTCTCTTCTTGAACGAATGGGGCCATCCGAAAAATGCTTTACTTACAATCTTGTTTTCTTAAATAATATTTTCTACTATATTTTAAAACTGTGGAAAGCAAAGACAAATAATTTAAAAATAGTAATTTCTGTTTTGCAAAACAAAATTTGCATTATTGTATTCGATACTTGGTTGGTCTGCACAGAGATTTTTTATTTTGTTAAGTGTTTGAATTTACATTTATTTCTAACATCTTTGTGCGTCAAAATCATTTCGGTTGACTAAAATCGCATAATATTGTAGTTGTGGCCTTTTGAATGAGATTATGTTTTACTTTCAGATAGCATATCTGCTTCAGTTTGGTTGATTTTTTAAGGTCATTCATCATTATGTATGTTTTGTCGGGTTGTTGTGTATATAATGCTTGCTCGTTACTAATTGCAGACATCGTTTTTTCACAGTATGACTACCATTGAGGAAGTTAAGAGGGAATCTAGCTAGTATTGCATTGCATGTAAACGGGGATATAGCTATTGCATCTAATCAAAACATTGGTGGTATTGCATTAGCTATCTCTCCAGATACTTGGGTATTGTATTGTTAAATTAGTCCACTATCTTATATAGGAGAGACATAACCATTACATCTATAATCAGATTCAGTCACAATTCTATTAGTAACGTTAAGTGTTGTGTGTTATTCCGTTCCCTTCGATCAATTACATAAGTTATTTTTACAAGAAAATGCAATATGCAAATAACTTTCCAAAAAGGTTTTAGAATACGTTTACTCATTGTATAAACTTCCCCATGTTTAAGATAAATTTCGGCTGGAAACAAACAAACATTATTGACCTTATATTTACCAACCATTAATAAGCTAAAAAACTATCGAACCCATATGATCAATCTAAGTAAGTGAACAAATTTCATGTCACATTGTCATAGTTTGATAGTAAAGCCGTTTTGTTCTATATGCAAACATATCATCTATCCATGAGAATAATGTGATCTACAGACCATGTGAAAGGCAAAACATAGTTTGTAATGTTCCCAGCTTGAGAAATTCATGCTATATAAAAAGTCTTACAGTGAAAACCAAGAAAAAAAGAGCGAACAACAAACTGTCCCAAAGACAAGACTTTATAAGGGTTACAAAGGCATAAGACTTTCAATGTGATTAGGGAAAACCTTCATAGTTCTGTGTCCAAATTCTTTGTCTGAGTTTCCTTCAAGTTCAAGTCTTCTCCAACTGTTTCCCACCGGATCGTAGAATTCAATATACGACGATTTGTTGAAAGGTACATAAATAAACTCACCAGCATGAGTGGAGCCTTGTAGTTGGAAAAAAAACTTGTATAAAGGTGAGAGAAAGTCTTGAAACGACCACTTGTAGTGTTTATCTGTTTCATCCTCCAGACTCCACAATCTATTATCATCTATTTCATCAATACAAGCTAATCTCCCCTTGTAAGTTATAAGCACATCCCATTGAATACTTGAGGGTAGTTCTATCATATGTAATATTTCAGATCTCACATCAAAGCTCATTACAACTGTATCATACCCTTGACGATTACATGCTAGATAATATATCACCCCCTTGATGCATCGACCAGAAGCAAAGGATTCAACACTATGCTTAAATTTAGTTTTGACGGTTCTCCATGATTCTTGCCCTGTTCCCAAAGTAAAAACTCGGCAGACGTAGCAAGTTTTTCTATGGGGAAGGCACACTACTTTGTGTTTACCTTCAACTGGATCATATCCTAAAAACACGTTCATATGTCTGGAGCTCATTTTGGGTTTGGGTAAAACTAATAATTGTCCCAGGGTAGGGTTCCAAACTAGGGGCTTTCGTGAGTCTATATCTTCAATGCAGATCAAGCCGTGCACATACTCCATACAGGAGAAGTAACAATGTTTTCCTGGAACTTCCATTGGATAAGGAAGAATAGGCTGTGAAGAAGAGTAAGACCTGATATCAGGACATATTGTAACCTTTTATTGAACTTAGTAGAAGACTTGGCGGTGTAGTAGTTCCAAACGACTTGATGAAACATGGATCGGTGGTGATTGATAACCAAAGCTTCGACACGCAACGGAACCTCCCAACAGATCTTGCAGGCAACCGTAAGAGAATCTCTGAGGTTAGATCGCTGGGTAACGAAGAACCTTGTTGCTCCATCTTACGTAAAGATTCAAATCCCTAGGTTGCTCTCGACCTAATTTTTCTTAATATTAGACATACGCATCCTTTGCTCTAGGGTTTTACCTTTTTATGTACATTAGTGAACTTTTTGTCCGCTTTACATATATCAATATTAGTAAAATAATTTTGATATTAATAATTTACTTTCAGTTTTATTAAATTATGATCATAACCCACCTTTCTGTAAACCGAGCTAGAGTTGGAACCCGTTCTTTATGTTTCGGCACAAACTCGAATACACATCCTTCGACAAAAATGATTAGTATAGTCTGGTTATGGAAAAGCTTTGAGCACATGTTCAACATATCAGTTCAGCAAAAAATAAACTAATTAAATACGAACAACAAAAACTTCATTGGTTACTTACCTCATGAACAAACAATCTCCATATTGTCTTTGTTCCCAACCATTATTAACTATTCATTTCATTAAAATTGTTCATGTATGTGTCTTGTTACATAACCACCCTCACAGATGGATCCTTCCTTGGATGATCTGGTCCGAGCCCTACAGGGTGAAGGGGAAGATGTTTTTGTTCTGGTCTTAGATGTAAAACAAAAAGTTTTGGCAGAAGAACAAACATGAAGGAGATGCCACAGAAAATTGTTTGATGAAGCAAGGTCTAAAGAGTGAGTGTGTCAATTCAAGTACACGACCTGGAGGAGATAAGAGACAATCAATGAATCAATTTGTAGGGAACAAATGTTTCTCTTCCTGAAAGAATGGGGACATCCGAAAATAAATTTACAATCTTATTTTAATACAAATTTTCAATTATATTTAAAATCTGTGGAAAGCAAAGAGAAATAATTTAAAAGTAGTAATTTTTGTTTTACAAAGCAAATCTTGCATAATTTTATGTATACTAGGCTGGTCTGCTCGGAGATTTTGATTTTGTTAAGTATTTGAATTTACATTTGTGTCAAAATATTACGGTTGTCAAAATAATTGAATACAACAAATGTGGTCTTTTGAATGAGATGATATCTTTTTATTTGGGCAGAATTTCTGCTCATTTTGTTTCAATAAAACATACTAAACTAAGCCAAAGTGTGAACCTGTTTCCATATTAACATGTGCTATTCAGTTTTTCCCCTGAACGTTGACCAGTTGGCCTCTACAGATTACAGAGTTGGATGCAAGTTTGTTAGCAAACGTGTAAAGCTTGATGTCATTCTGAAACAGGAAAGCGCACTCTTTAGGCTGCATGTGTAAATATATACATAATCGTTAACGGCTACAACATGGAACCAAGGACAACATAGACGACTAATAAGTAGCCTTTTGGGTACCATAACTATCGCCTCCCCTGTCATCGTTAGCTTCAAATTCATCAAACAAAGTGCGACCTCTGGTGAATGAAACACCTTTGGGACCGTTGAGTTTTGCTGGAATTTCACCAACAACGAACAAAAATCAACCCATCTCTTAGTCACAACAATGAACACTAAACTTAGGAGGTACGCCATATTTTTGTTTCTACTCCATTTGGAAATCATGGTCATCCTGCGCCATTTCACACTTAATTAGTTAGTCGAGTATACAAGCTTAGTTTCAATACAACAACCCATACAAAACTTACTACGTATAATGCTTGCTCATTACTAATTGCATTTTTTTTCACTGTATGACTATCATTGATGAAGTTGATAGGGAATCTAGCTGGTAAAGGTATTGCATTGCATGTATCCGAGAGATAGCTATTCCATCTAATCAAATCATTGGTGGTATTGCATTAACTATGATAGCAGGTTTGCGGTGCTAAAGTTTGGTTCACATCTTATGGATCTAGATAAGTATTTAGAATATTTTTAAATATTTTATTATTCATTTTATTAATTATTTTAAATTTTGATGATTATACTTTTGTGTAGGGTCTTATGGTTTTCATATATATAGGTTTATTAAGCCTAGAATTGTTTTTAATTTTTGATTAATTAATAAAAGTTGAGAGTTTTATCTTTGTTTCTTGTTTAACTAGGTGTTTTGCCCGCACTTGCGGGCATAATTCTCTTATAAATATTTATTAGTTGATGTTTCATTAGTTTAAAAACCAGCATAATAAGTTATTATTTATGTTTTCAAAAGGTACAAATCAAACATCAAATAATTATTAATTACAAAACTCAAACATCATAAATATTTATTCTATAATTATTTAGCTTAATTTATATTTAATTATAAATTTTATACAATTTTTTTACTTAATTTATATTTAATATTAATTTTTATATCTTAATTTTAAAATTTATAATAGAAAAACATATTTTCAAGATAACAGTATAATGCATAATTTATTTATTTTCTAAAAATATAATATAATAAAAAAAATTTAATTATATAAGATTATCAAAATTAAGACATATAATTAAAACTACCTAAAATCATGGAAAACTTAATCAATCAGCAAATTCACTTTTTAAATATTTTTTCTTGAGTGATGATTTATAGTTAATTTATAATAGATAATTTTTCTATTTTACTTTTAAATTATATAATATAAAAGTATATTTTTAAGATAACAACATAATACATAAGAATTACTTTATTTTATAAAAGTATATATTATTAGTGTAAAATTATTTCAATTATAGAATAACTACAACTATTTATATCTTAATTTTAAATTTATAATAGAAAAATATATTTTCAAGACAACAGCTTAATACATAAGAAATATCTTATTTTCTAAGAATCTGATAGCAGTAATATAAATTTGTTTTAAATATATAATAAATTATATATACAATTATAGAAATTATGATAAATTATCAAAATTATCAAAATTAACTTCTTAAATAATAGTATAGATTTTTTACATGTTAATTTTAAATTTTATAATAGAAAATATATTCTCAAGATAGCAACATAATACATAAGAATTAACTTATTTTCTAAAATATAAATTAAATTATTAATAATATAATTTTTATATCTTAATTTTAAGTTTTATAATAGAAAAATATATTTTCAACATAACAACATAATACATAAGAATTAGCTTTTTAATTTTTATATATAAAAATATATTTCTAGATAATAAGATAATTCTTAAAGTATATTTCTAGATAACAACATAATTCACAAGAATTATCTTATTTCTAAAATATGATATATTCATATACATTCGTTTTATTTATAAATAAATTATATATAATAATATAAATATGATAAATAAACAAAATTACCTAACTTATGGAGAACATGACAACTAATTTATTTTCTAAAATATGAATTTAATTATTAATAATATAATTTTTATATCTTAATTTTAAGTTTCATAATAGAAAAATATATTTTCAACATAACAACATAATACATAAGAATTATCTTTTAAATTTTTATATATAAAAATATATTTCTAGATAATAAGATAATTCTTAAAATATATTTCTAGATAACAACATAATTCACAAGAATTATCTTATTTTCTAAAATATGATATATTCATATAAACCGTTTTATTTATAAATAAATGATATATAATAATATAAATATGATAAATAAATAAAATTACTTAAACTTATGGAGAACATGACAACTAAGCAAATTTACTTCTTAAATAATAGTATAGATTTCGGCAGATCTATAGAGATCTCAACGAATTTAAGAAGACATCAATCTTAGGTAGACTTATACTAAATAAGATTATCATATTTTTTTGGATATTCTTAAAAACTAAATAAGATTATCATATTTTTTTGGATATTCTTAAAATCAAAAGATCACTAATTATATCCCTAGAAGCTTCAACTACATCAAAAATTCAGTCAAAATTATAATAGTACCGTCTCAAGTGTTGTGTGTTCTATATGCCAAATTGTGATTCTTCATGCGATTACCTTTTATTCATCTCCCCTCAACCAATTACATAAGTTATTCTTACGAAAAGATGTAATATGCAAGCAACTTTCCAAAAAGGCTTTAGAATACTCAGAGGGTGTTATTGGTTTGTATATTTTAGTGGATTTGAAAATACAAATCAAATATAATGTTATTGGTTATATGATTTTAAAATCCCTATTCAAATTCATTGTTATTGGTTCTATGATTTTAAAATCTATATTCAAATTCATTGTTATTGGTTCTATGATTTTAAAATAGATTTTAAAATCAGGCGTTATTCAATAATAATGATTTGCTTGAGGATTTGATTTTAAAATAGATTTGAGTGGATTTGTGAGTTAAAAATACAAAGAAGCANCCCTATTCAAATTCATTGTTATTGGTTCTATGATTTTAAAATCTATATTCAAATTCATTGTTATTGGTTCTATGATTTTAAAATAGATTTTAAAATCAGGCGTTATTCAATAATAATGATTTGCTTGAGGATTTGATTTTAAAATAGATTTGAGTGGATTTGTGAGTTAAAAATACAAAGAAGCAAATATTGAGTTGAAACTTGTTATTTTGATAGTGTATTATTGATTTTCTTAATAATTGTTTTATTGCCCCAAATTTTACGTACATATTATCCATGTTTCTCTAATAATAAGCAAATACTAAATTGTTAAAGTTGATGGATTCTAAAATCTCTGCAATATCCCTTGGATTTTGAGTTTAATCATTTATTCATTAGAATCCATCACTGATGATTTGAAATCCATTTATATTACAAAGAATTTTAAAATCCTTAAAAGTTGAATAACACCAGATTTTAAAACCCAAAATTCAATCTTAGATTGAATAACATTGAATTTTAAAATAGAATTTAGAATCATCAATT